TGCTCCCAGTTCTGGAAGTGGATCTTCAGGATGGGACAAGGGCAGTGTCAAACCGGATCTGGTCCATCCTGAAGATCCACTTCCAGAACTGGGAGCACTTCTGGTCGATCCTGAGGATCCACCAAAACCCACTTCCAGAACTTGATGATTATTAAGATTGAATGTTGACAAATTATCAGGATTCGATCTTAATAACTTCAAAACGATATTATTAAGATTCATCCGGTAACGCTATTATTTGAATATAGTTAATAACCTGATAAAAAGTTGATAGCGTTATTAAGATTCCATCATAATAACGATATCGAACGATATTTTTAGTTTATTACGATATCTTGATAAAAAAAAATCATGAGCACAGCTATATCTTTGGCCGGATCTTTGGCTGCCTCTTTCAATGCAGAAATTTCCTCATCGCACGCACTGCTGTAGTTCAATTCGATGATGCGATCACCGTCGATATTCAGCGAATTATCAAATCGTGGTTCATCCATTCTATCTGATTTCGCTTCTCACCAACGGAATCCAAAGAAAAAATTCTGCGAAAGAAAAAAAAAGAGTAAAACGATTAATTTTGATTTGATGCTTACAAAAATGGGATTTTGACATGAATTCCCAAACAGTATGCATCGGCTTTGCTTCAAATGACTTGCTCAAAGGTAAACAAATGAACTTAACCTCAAACACAACTTTTCAACATAATTTTGCCATTTTAAATGTGAAAACAGTGAATACATCCACTGAAGACATTGAAATTGAAGAAAATTCATTCAATTTTCATGCAAAATGCCCATTTATGCCATTGTCAAAAACTTGTTTGTCATTGTAAACACTATACGGTCTCATTTACCGCAAAAAAAATTGATGTCTTTGCAATGGGTCTCTTTTTCTGATGGAAACTCACCGGAACATGCATTTATTGACGAACTTCGGCTCTTTCAAACTATCCTCTAGGATTTTCTCACATTGAACTAAACCAAACAGTTTATTTGAATCGAAATTGATAGCGGATTTATTTCTTTTGTTTTCACAACGACAGTCTTTACAGAAGCAAACAATATTCAGGAGTTCGAATTATAATCGTCACCGAACACTCAAACTCAATGTAAACACCAGCTGTCGTCTCGCTCACACTCAACCTAATGACATGACGGCTGAGTGTAATGACTGCTGTACTCAATGTCTTTGACAGTTTGAGCTTGGGTATTTTTGCGTTATGACGTTGCTCAAGATGCGTGACAGTGGCGCGCGGAATTTCGACGAATAAAAATATTCGGTTAATTTTTTTTTATTTTTTTTAACTATTTTATGTATTATATGAATATTTTATCAAACTTTAAATTAACAGCATTTTTGATTACTTTACTATATACAAGCTAAGCATACAATTTCACCTGGCGGTCAATTTATATTCTTGACACTTCCATTATACATCCAAAAAGTGACTTTGACAGTTCTACTAATTCGTTAATGATATTTACCTGGCCTTTTCATTTAATTACTACAACATTGTATTATAAAGTTAACTTGAGACTTCAGTTTTTATATTCATTAGTAGTAAATTTGACGTAAAACTATGTCACTTGTGATTGCAAATGATTTAGAAACAGAAAAGCCGAGCAAAAGAATGAAAAGATCGGTTGTAGAGGGTGTTATAGTGAATATTACTCCACCAAAAAGAATTGTTGATGTCAACAATGACTGTTTGGAACGTGTGTTCGAGTTTCTGGAATTTGATTCTTTAATACATGTGGCCGAAGCAAATAAGTTTCTCAAAGTAGTAGCCGAAATGGTATTCGTTCGGAAACTTAAGAACAGAATGATTATCGTTGATGACCAGTGGGGACACGAAAATGAGACTGACTACTTTTATGAAAATGCAATTATTTTTCGACAGCCGGTGCTGGGATTCAAAGTTATACGGCTTTTTGGTCACCATGTCTCCGAGTTATATTTGAGAATCCATGATGGTTCTTCTACTCTTCGCAAAAGATTGTTTCTTCATGCCAACGAATACTGTCACCAAACGCTGAATGTTTTACACTCATTCGGGGACCATACAAACATATTTGGCGCGGTGAAACATCCATTTGTAAACGTCAAAACCTTCTCGTCTCAGGAAGGGATTATTGGACCTGCATGTGAACACTTAAATCGTATCTTTCCTCGTTTATGCCAACTAACACTCAACGAAAATGATGTGCTGGATTCGAAATACATCTTACAAGCATTTCCAAACCTTTATTTCATATTACAATTATTTGGTGGGTGATGGAGATTGGCCATTTAATCAATTCATGGATGACGATTTGAAAACCATTACAATTTTAAATCCGCAGCTTCAGAGTATTACATTGGTAGGATATCCACCAGGCATTTGGGAGCTTATCAACACAAATCTCGACCATTTGAAAAGTATTCATCTATCTTATTATGCACATAGTTTCGACACCTTTAAAGGTCCACACATTCAATTCAATGGTGTTGAAATATTAGAAATAACATGCTTGCCTCCATGGCAGAACGGCTGGAGAGGTAGTGTCGATCCAACTGAAGTGTTTCATTTCAAGCGTCTAAGGAAATTGAAAGTGAAATGCTATGGTTTCCAACTGAAGATGTGGATAGACTTTATTCTGGCACATCCAACGATAGAAGAGCTCGATATTTGGTTATTTGACGGTAAATTGCCCTTTTATCTAGAACTTTATGAACGGTTACGCGATAAATTAAACAAAGTACGTCAAAACACAAAATTTATTTCAATGCGTAAAAACTTCAATATTTTCTACGTAACACATATTAAAAAGCTGCCGGCATTTTTAGAAGCCCATCAGTGGTTCGATAAATTTTCTTTACTGTTCGATGAGTTATTTACAGACGCATCTGTTCATCATATAAACAAGTATTATGAACAAATTCCAGAAATGAAAAATTATAAACTAAAAAAATATATGTACATATAGAAATTTTCGTTGATTTTGAAAAATGTGAAATTTAAAGTAAATTTGACCAAATACACACACAATATATTTCTATCATACCATGACAATAAACAAATGTACAAATAACTATTTGTAATTTAATAATGTAATATAATCAATTATAATTCAAAATAAAATCAAGCAACAACATCAATTGTATTTGTTCATTGTAAATTTTGAACGTTGATTTCCGAACATTTGCTTCAGGTTTTTTTAGCTGTTCTCCAGATTTTTTTACGCAGCTGATTATACCAAATTTTGTTATGTTTAATAAAAATAGCACAGAGTGCAACAAAAAAAAGTCATAGGTCAGAGAAATAGCCGAGTAAAATCCCAACAGGGTTTTGAAAGTTCTGTTGGCGTTTTTTTTTAAATCGACTTCGGCGTTTTTCAAGCAACATGGTCTTTTGCAATATTTAAACGTCAGTTTTGGTCAATAAGTCGTTCATTTTTGGTGATAGCTCCTTACTCTCTTTGGAAAAGTTGCAGCTGAGAGTCCAACTTGAACCCGTGTTGAATCCTGTTTCGCAAAACACAATCGCATCTGTTCGAGAATGAGCCCGACTTTTTCACATTTCTTAATTGTGCCGTATGTTTCGACTTGTAATTAACTTAATTTCTTCTTTTTGTATTGATTGACCAAGTTGGTTATTGTGATACGTTTAAATTGAATACATATAATATATAAAGTAAGAAGGGAATTGCACGTCAATTCCTCGGTTCAAAAATCAATTCTAGATAGAGTTCTGCATTCACTGTTATTTCTCAGGGATTATTTTTTGATATAATAAAGGTTATATGAAAAAAATCCTCAATATTTTGATGAAATTCTTCAAGAAATCAAACAATTTAGTTTCTACATTGCAAATGGTCAATTGGCAATTAGAAAATGATTTTCCAACACACACTGGGCACACCAGAGCCAAAATTATGAGCTATAAACGTTCTTCTACACAAATGTGCTCCATATGTGGGCAATTTACTATGCACAGAACACATGCATTTTTTGGTTGGAAAACTCTCGGAAAAGCGCCACTTTGGGAAATCGGAAAAGCGGGGAAAGTTCAGACCAGTCTCAATCGATCGGGCGGGAAATTTCATGTGAGGTAGCGACCCAAAGAGCGTATGTCAAGCAAAAAACCCATCCATTCCTGAGATAAATGAAAAAATTCAGAAATATCGGCATTAAAAAATAATCTCTGGGAAATAACAGTGTGGTTATGTTAACCTGATACAGAGAGAGAGAGAGAGAGAGAACTGTCACTGAACATCGGTATGGGTGTTTGATACACAAAACGGGCTCACACAATATACGATATAAGGTAAGACATTAGTTGAATTTTTCCATCGTATCCAAAATGTAATTTCGTTTTGTTTTTGTTGCAAGTGTTTCATTCGGTGTTAATGCATAAGAATGCAATGAAATATGTGTGAATCAAGACGCGCAAATGGGACGTACGGATCGGAATCGAAAGCGTAAAAAAGCCAACGACCTTGAAATACAACAGTCAACAAATGGCCGATTAGAAAGCATGAATTCGGAGGATATTTACATAAATTTAGCACGTTCACTGTATCGCAACGGTTGGCTCAACGAAACCAATTTAAAAGTTGGTGATTTCCCAGTGACCGGACGTGGCATTTATTCCATCAAAAACTTGCATAAAGATGATTTGCTCATATCACTTCCAATTGAATCGCTTATCAGCATCGTATCGATTGCTGATGACATGAAATTTCGCTATTTGATGAGCCGCACCTTTGGCACACACGAAAAGCAAATCACATCACAAGGTTTACTCGCATTGTATCTGTTGTATTTAAAGCATACCGGACAGCATACGGAATACATGTCAACGCTTCCCACCGCATTTTCGGTGCCATATTTTTGTGCGGATGCCGAAATCAATGCAATGCTACCATCAATACGGGACAAAGTGCTGGATCAACGGGAAATTATCGATGTGGATTTTAGTTGCTTCCAAAGTTATTTCAAGGATACGCGTTGCACGTGCTGCAACCGAATTTATTTCTGTGATATTTTCAATCGGACCGAGTTTGAGTGGTCATTTTTTGCGGTGAATTCACGTTCGGTGTATTTTAATTTGGAGAAAATTGCTGTTAAACACCTGGAATCAGTGCGAACGGTACAAAAATTGTTGAAAGATGAACCAACGTTGGCTTTGGCACCATTTTTGGATTTACTCAATCACAGTTGCACTGCTAGCACGGGTTTGTATGTGAAAAATACCGACAATGGACCACTCTATCAGCTGTATACAACGGTTCCGTTCTCAAAATACGAACAAGTTTTCATCAGCTATGGCGCGCTGGACAACACCAAACTTCTCACCGAGTATGGATTTTTTGTACCCAATAATAAGCATGATTTTGTGGAAATTCAACGCAAAGACATTGACATACATCTGAAAATGGTACCGTATCGGATAAAAATTCTTATTTCAAATGAAAGCCTCGACCAAAACCTCTTCATCACCCGAGCCAATGGATTCAGCCATAATATTCGCATTTTAATTTACATCTGCTGCAATGCCACGCATGCCACAACAGCGACCGATGAAAATTACTGCAAGAAAATCATTTATGGTGACATCAACGAATTGGATTTTACATCGATGGATATGAAAAAATTGGCCCAACAAATCGTTGACAGCAAAGTGAAGGAGCTACGTGATCAATGCGGCATTTTTACCGAACGTCAAACAAATCACACACTTACCGAACGAGCTACCATTTATCTAAACTACTTGCAAGAAGCAATTAAATGGCTGGAATGTGTTGAGCTTTAGGAAGAACCAGAAGCGACTCAAAGCTAAAATCGAAACGAAACAGACTAAAGCCATAAGCATTTGTATACCGTTTGTAGAATTTGAATTGCAATAAAGTTTCAAAGAAATAACAACAATAATTGATAATAGTAAGAAAAAACAAAGTAAAGCTCGCAAACCAATTTACCGTTTTGTACGTGCACCAGCCAAGGGATACTAAATTAATGCAATTTCATTTTTGAAAGAAAGTACATCTGAATAATGTTTAAAGTATGAGCAATTAGATGATAATTTAGCAGTTTAAGTCCAATGTTAGAAATGATAACGCCGGCCCCATTGCAATGTACACCATCGATGGAATGATGGATTTAATTGATTGGAGGCCAATTATCGTTCAATCACAAAACGAATGATATGACAGTAAATTCACCTGATTCACCTGAAAATCAATGGACAATGTTGATCGATTGAGATACAAAATTTTAAGCTCCAAATGTTATATGAAAGCAAGAGAGGCAGAGAAAACACAAAAATAAGAATACATTTAATTTGTTCCAAATAATTGTTTTTGTTTTATATGATATATTTATTCATTACATATCCTTCGTTTATCCTTGTTGTCCAAAAAATTTCAGACAAAAGAAAATTGCATAGATTTTTTTTGTTCCATTTTTATTCACAAATAAAATAATTTATTTCTAACTAATTGTCTAAATGTGTTTATTTTTTCCGTTCGATATTTCATTCTTTTTCTTCTTTATTTTATAAATCAATGTCATAAACGAATCAGGAGTCAAAACGCAAAATCATTTTTTTTGTTAAACAAAAAGACACACGATTTGCGAAAGAAAATGCAATTCGATGTTTATATGTCTTTTCTTCCATTGTGGGCTAAAGTAAAATGTTTCCTCGTGAATGTCAACAATTAATTTTTTGCTCTTGAAAAATGTTGGTCAATGAAAAATATTTTTGCTAAGGATCTTATTTGCTTTTTTTTCTCTCTTAATTTTCGGTCTATATAGCCACTTATTGTCGTACATCTAGAATTTATGTAAATTTAGTCTCTCATTTCTCAAGAACAAAATATATACGCGAGAACGAAAAATACAATTCAATTTTGGTTAAAAAAAATTTCTTTTGCCTAATTGAAATTTCTACCGATTTCCAATCGATATGCCAAACTATTTAATTTAAAGATCATTTTTATACAAATTCTCTGATTTTTCTTTTCTGCTTCCAATTCCAAAAAATAGTTTTTAAAAAAAATTCTCCATACGATACAAAATTTGGGCTAGTTTGAGTGTATGTTTGTGTGTGTGTGTGTGTGTGGATGGGTAAATGCCTATTAATTTAGAATAAAGCTCAATGAAATCTCATGCGATGTGATTCAACTTATTTGGAACCATTTTCCGTCTGCCAATTCAAAAATTAGTCAGTTTCTACTCTAGAGTTAAGTTGCTGTTACATCGATTTAAGTGGCCAAATCACGTGCAAATGTGATCCCTTTCAATTTGTTTGTTTTTGTTTTTTTTTGCATGAGGTTATCAGGATAAAACTACAATAATTATGTATGTTGTTTTTTGTTCCTTCTTTCTCTTCATAATTTCGTTCCGTACATAAATGGAATTTAATTTTATTTAATCCACTTTTATTAAGACGAAAAAGAAAAAAAATCAAATTTGCTAGATTTACTCAATAAATCTCATTTTGCGCGAAGAAAAAAACGATTCTTTTTTGTAAAAAAAGAAATTTAAAAAAAAAAGATATGGTAAGAAAAAGGCGATAAATTATTTCGAAAAAAAAAATGAAAATGATGTGGATGATAAGAGTAATGATAAAAATTAGTAACTACAAGAGAGACGCAGAGAAAGTGAATGTAAGTCATAAACTTGTTGTGTTGTTGTTTGTGTAAAATCTAAGTTGATTTCCAGTTACAGTTAACAGGAGATTAATATCAGAGAAAAAGAAATGGTGGTTGAATGTGTGTTTGCCACGCTAATCACGCTCGATTTCAAACAGCATAATCAACTTCGCTCCATGGAAGTGAGTCACCGGACATTTTGAAATCGTCAATGTTGAACAAATCCAATACGTGATTGTTAACATTGGCGCTTGCGTTTGGATTGAAGTATGATGCTGTCGATGTCATTGCATTGCTGGGCACATTCATTGCATTCACCAAATGTGAATCATTTGAATCGAAATTCACGGCCGATGACGATACGACCGATTGATGATGATGATTCATCGGTGACGATGATGATGTTGCTGTTGTTGCTGTGCTTGATTGTGGCAATGCAAAATCGAATTGGGCTAATGTATTATCAAAATATTCAATGTCCATTGAACCTAAATGCAAACCACTCGCTGGTGTAATTTGATTATTTTGCGTACCTAAATAAAATGGATTGTTATAGTCAACTAGATTGTTGTTTGGATTACTATCTAAACTACTGCTTAGGTTATTGTTTGTGTCATTATTGCTAGAACTATTACTACGATGATTGCTTAAGTGATTGTTTAGCGATTGTTGTGGCCGCATTCGATGCTGGTTCTGTTGCTGCTGCTGCTGCTGTTGTTGTATCAACTCCGATAGAGATGGCTGAAGTGATGGATTCATGTCACGTCGACACGATGTGATCATGTGCTGTTGTGATGAATTCAAACCACTGTTGCTGACCCTAGAAGTGAATATATTTCGTTAGAAAGAAAAAACTCAATTTTTTCTTGAAATTTTCTTAAAATTTGGATTGAAAAGGGTCAAAACACTCACCGATCATTGAGTTCATCTTTGATAACAGTCATCGGTTGACAACTGTCATCACTAATATCCATATCAAGTTGCTGTCCCATCAGTTCCATCAGTTCAAGGTCATCAAATGTTTTCAAATCGACGGAGCACGGATCATTCGTTGCACTGGACAATGTTTGCTCCTTCTTTATATCCATAAGCATCGACTTATCATGGTCATGATGATGGTGATGATGATGATGGTCCTGTATTTTACCAGCATCGCTATGCGATTGAGCCGCTTCGCTTAAGAACAAATCGAAACTGTTGCACGAATCCTCGCAATTTGATTGTGGCATCGGCGACAGTGTGTCCATCGCATTCGCACTGAGAAGCAAATCATTTGGAATCATATTTGAATCCGATGCTGATGTCGAATCGAATAGCGAAAATTCCTTTTTCACTGGCGTTGTATTAAATGGAAGTGTGGCAGCCACATTGCTCATTAGCACATTATTCAAATTCGTGGCGTTGTGTAGCGCATGATCAGTTGAATTAGCCATCGTAATTGCTGTGTTAATACTTGGCAACGTTTGTTGCTGTGATTGTTGTTGTTGCTGCTGCTGCTGCTGTGGCGATTGCCGTTGCCGTTGCCGTTGCTGTTGCTGTTGCTGTTGCTGTTCGAGTATATTTTCCATTTTATTGGCATTATGTTGTTTATTTGTGTCCACATTCATTGGATGACTAGAAATTTTGGGCGCCGTTATTTGCGTCAGATGCAAATTAACGGGTGGTGGCTGAGGCGGCGGTTGAATTTGTGTGCTTAAATTGATTTTCTTCACAATTGCATTGATATTCGGCGAATTGGTGGAAATTGGCACCAGAAAATTCTGCATCGTTCCACCACCACCATGTGGATTACTGCTAAGCACATACTTTTTGTCATCGGGAAAATTCACCAGCAAAATGGTCGATTCGCCGTTCCATACAAATTCGTTGGCTGGCTTTGCCGTTGGGCCAACGGTAAAATTGGTCGTTACGATTGGCTTTGGTGCGAACGTCTCGTTTATTTTTACCGCATTTTCTGACAAAAATAGAAAAGCACATTTGAAATTGACTCATTTTGTGTTCATGGAAAAAGTGTCAGTTTGTTGTTGTTTCTAAAATTACCTTGTTTCCTTCGCTGCATCTCTTGTTGCTGCTGCTGCTGCTGCTGCTGCTGCTGCTGCTGTTGTTGTTGTTCCATTTGCAATTTCTGTAAGTTTTCCAGTTTTTGTAGTTTGTCCTTTTGAATTTTGGCCTCTAATTGTTGCTTGAATATTTGCTTTTGATTCAACGCTTCCGTTTTGTTCGGAATGACGTCATTCTGCGTCAAAATAACTGCAGGCGATGATTGGCTTTGTTTCATTTGCATTTGTTGCAATTCTTGTTGGCTTTCTTTCAGTTTACGTTGAAGTTCATCGATTTTTCGTTGTTGTTCGCGCAACAAATCCACATTGCTGCGTGATTTGGCCTGTTCATGCATTTCCATGCTATCAGTTTCCATTGAAATGGGTGAAATTCGGCTGGCATTATCAGTATCATCGTCCATCGTGCCATTTTCACTGGTCATCATATCGCTGACTTCTGGTTGTACGAACGGCCGAAGCCGTTCGATAAGCTGTGGTTTTGGACCGGAAACGGGCAGATTACGTGTTTTCAGCAGTATTTTCAAATCCGACACCTTCATCTTTTCCAATTTGCTCAGCTCCAATGTGTTTGTATCGGATACATTTGATATCGGACTGGCTGGTTTTGTGGACGATGCTGTTGATGTGGCCGGCGATGCTTGTTGCATGAAATTATTTATCATCGAGAATGTTTGTGTTTCTGATTGCACATTGGGTTTTGTGTTGTTTGCCGCTATCGTTGACGGTAAATTCTTGTGAAGACCTTCAAGATATTCCAGAAGACAATTTTGTTGCTTCAGCAACAGTTGATATGATGTTTCCTCCGGTTGCAACGACAGTAGCCCATTTTTCTGTGCATTCGGTGGCCCTTTATATTCATGGAATTTTATTGTACGCGTTTTTGAAATCGGTTTCAGTTTATTCTTTTTCCGATGTTTGCCGGGTGCATCGGTTTTGCAACTGTTTTGCACCGGCTGTGCAATCACTTGAAATGAAGTGGTTGACGCTGGCAACAATGTAACGCGCTGTTGTTGATCACTCTTATTTGGTACAAATTGTTGGTTATCAATGGTGATCACTTGTTGGCATAGTTCGTTGAATAGATTGGTTGTTTCTGGTTTCACTTGAATCGGTTCGACCGGCGCGGGTTTGGTTATCGTTGTATCGATTGGATAGTAGGCTGGCGGTAATTTGGCTTGTGTTACAACGGTTGTGAAAACGGTATTGTTATTCTCATTTGTGAGTGGAATAATTGCTGATGTCGATGGTATTGCGGCGATGGTTGTCGCCGCTGACACGGCCGTCGCTGTCGTCGATTCATTTAAATCTTGACCGGCTGGACTTTGCTGATCACCCTCTGAACTCTGTGAATCATCTTCGTATGTTATGTAACCGTTTGGCTGTTGCGGACGATTCAGTAGACCTAATTGGGCATGTTTTAAAAAGAATATTTGAGTTTGATTTCATTGAATCAGTGTGGTCATTGACCAGTGACCACTGGCCAAAAAACAAGACATTCATTCTTTGGCTTTTGGATTTATATTTTTTTTGTAAACTATTTAGCATTGTATCGTACCTTCGCTGGTTGCCTTAAATGAGATAAGGCCCTCTTTAACGATTCGTTCGATGGGCTCTTCAGTGTGAAGAATATTTTTTGCGATCAGCTCCAATGGGCCGGGCCTATGCGATAATTGTGAGTTCAATTGATCGGCAAGACGTGCTTTTTTCAGCATACGTTGTCTTTCGGCAAGACTGGGATCCACATGACCTTCGTCATGTTCAAGAATGTGACGACGTTCAAGCTCTTGGCGATCGGGTCGCTGTTGAATTTTCGCTTTCAGAATGTCTCCCGTTTTGGCGCGTTCCAATTGCTTTCGTTGCTCATGCAAGGCGGGCGATGACTTCAATGCTGATTAGAGAGAAATTATGAGAAATATTTTGATTATCGAATTACGCTGTTATCGAATGTTTGCGTCATAGAAAAATTCCTTCAAAGATAAATCATCGAAATCACTATAAACAAAGAAAAAGCAGAAAACAATACTTACAAGGAATAATGCCTTGGTCAACTAATTGCGCTATCGGCCGTCTCACCATTAGCTTGATTTTTAGAGCTAAAAACGAACAATTTTCATGCATATAAATGGTTTTTAATTGGATTTAATCGGGTTTTTTTTCTCTCTCTGCTTCTTCACTTGTTTTACCTTCTTTATTTTTACTAATAGCTGGCTGAAGTGGGCTACAATCAACAATGGCCTTTGGTGGTGATTGCCTCGTGTCCACATTTTCAATTTTGACCGTTCGCTTCAATTTGTCTTCAGTCGCCATTGATGCTATAAAGAAAAATCGAACGGAAATTCTAACGTGAGAACGGCTTTCAATCGAATAGTTTGCATAAATGCAAACAAACGTCAAAGTGACGTCATCGAAAAACAAAATCAAAACAAAATTCCGAAGACGATAGAGATGAAAGAGAAAAAAAATGCGACGAATTGTCGATAGAGAGAACCGAGGCTTTGAGGTGTCAGTATTCCGAAATCAATGAACTTGATTCGAACGAATCGGAGAGTGAGTGAGTGTGAGAGAGACAAAGGGGGGGGAGAGTGGGAAAACAAAATAATAAAAGCACACTGATGAGACGACGAAGTGAAGTCACTTGGAAAATCTGCCGGTAAAAATTGAACTGCGCATGCATAATGTTAATATAACACAAAACCGGTTTCGGTCCATCTTTTGTTTTGATTGGGTGCGACATTGGCGCTAAACCTTTTAAGTGCGATGTCATAAATGGATTGAGTTTTTTTTTCTATTTTATGAACAAATTGAGATGTACTGATATTTATAATCGAAAAATAAACACACCATTAACGTATCGTAAGGGGAAATAGAGAACACACTTCAAACGAACGATTTATGAAACGAAGATTAAAGTAAAAATGCACATCAAAATGTAGTACAAATCAAATTGGCGCATATTCACAGTGCAAAAAAAAAACCAGTTGAAACTTAATTAAATTGGTTACGGTGGTTGTTGAGTATGTGTGTTCTTTCATTTATCTTCTCTCCCTCTCTCTCTCTCTCTCTCTCTCTCTCTCTCTCTCTCTCTCTCTCTCTGTTCGCACACAATTCGATTCTGTCCCAAAACGATCGAAAATCGTTATTGCAAATGAAAAAAATCACGAGAACAAATGATTCGCATGGAACAATGCGTTCTGGTTAATTGCGTATCATATGTTTTGTTGCTGCGCTTGTTGTTGTTGTTGTTATTATTTATTTATTTTTTTCGTGTTTCTTGCCGTTGAATTTACGTGTTCGTGAAATGGTACAGTGGAAAAAACAAAACTAGATGCGAAAAATAAAACGAAACACATTAAACACGATAATTTCAGTTGTGTGTACAGTAAATTGAGGCATCTTGTGGTGTGATGGCCTGGCGTCGCTGTCTTTATTGGCTCGATGCGCGCACATGCATTTAGGTGTAGAAAAAGATTTACTAGTGCATGCAACACTTGAATAGTGTCGAAAATATGTGCAGTGCTGCTGTTTTATCTCTGTTATTTTTTTCAGCTTTGCTTTGCACCACATCGAAATTGTACACAAAAGAGAAATGCTTTCGGCAACTATGGTGTGTGCGGTTTTTTTTCTTCTTCTCTTTGCATGAAACATGCAACAAGTCAGACAAATTAAAATGGATTTCGCCCCAAAAATGACGACCAATGAATCAGCACCGTAACATATAGACCTAACAATAATACACTTATTTGACAGCCGATTCAGCGGCTCTGGATGATTTTGTTGTTGTTGATTTTCTTCTGCTTTTGAACTGTCTATTTTGAAATGCGATCGGCACGACATCGAAGCTTACCCAATTTTTCGTTTAGGCTTCAAAGGAGAAACACCAAACACGTCAACACAATTAATCGAATAAAATTGAAACAAATCACATTGTCATGAAATTGAACGCTGCAATACTAGCCGAAAATGTATTTCTTTTTCAGAAACTTTGCGGCTTTTTTTTTCTCATGTCATTTGACTGTATGGACTGAAATGAGGTCATAATATTGACATGCTGAATGACATATTTGAAACTACAATGAACCGATCCAAATATTGGACGCACGTTTATTTTTGTTGAAATCAGCACCTGCAATTCATTTTGCATTTCAAAATGTAAACATACACACACGATCAATCCAATTGGCTGCATTGACTTGCATTGCAGTGAATCCACTTGTATTGAAGGCACAATCGGTATCACTAATCCAAAGTATAGCTATAATCCATTTCTCACTCAATTTGTTCAATTATTTTCACATTTCAATCCTGTGGTGCTGATTTAAACTTGTTTCACTGATTGAGAGTGAGAGAGAAGTTACACTACCTGAATCCCCTTTGAATGGCCGATGCAGAAGCGCCCCTCGAGCAAATATCAAAAATTCACATAAAACTCAATTCCAACATGAACAAAAAGGAAGAAATTCAAACACGCAACTTCCTTTGAGACATCAAAAACTACGGTTTCTTCAACAAGACGGTTTATTAATATTTCGGGGGGGGAAGAGACACCGAACAGACACCAACATAAATATATATATATATATATATATCGATTCAATGGATTTGGATTTGTATTTGACGTCCAATCACCGGTTTTTACCGCAATACCGAGCTGTACATTGACATCGAATCACTTTTTACCGTGTGCATTCTAATAAGATTGCGATGGCGGATGGCTTTTGGATAGATTTTACGTGAAAATTCGGAAAAATTTGCACAGATGCAACAAAAAAAGCGTAAGAAGAATAGCGCGCACTGAATATATATTTTTTTGCAGTTTGCACACATATGCAGCAGCGCCTGTTCGCTGAGATTTTAACTGGCTTCGCTGTGACTGACTTCGTGACTCGTTCAACACATTTTTGGTACATAAATTGTTCACACAACACATCGACCGACCAGCCAGCCAACCAATACGTCGCACTGAAATATTATCTGAACAACAACAATGACGTTGAACGAAGGAGAGACGGAGCGTGATAGAAACACAGAGAGAGGGAAAGAGTGAGAGAGTGAGAAAAACACACGGGAGACTACGCTACGATGACAGCCGTCGTCGTATGAAAATATGGGTTTTAGAGTACGAACAAGGATTATATTAAATTTTAAGGCTCTTTCTCACATCCGAAACATCCAACACAATAATAATATGGCGAGTGAGCTGGTGCTGCTGCTGCTACTGCTGCTGTTGGCTCTGATTGTCAATTCTCTCGATTACATGTGAGAAAAGTGAACGTGTAAATTCGGGTCCCGAATACGATATATATTACATTTATTCTGGCTGTATGTTTGCACGAACGACCGAGTTGCAAAGCGAGAATGACGAAAAGCAACATCACATTCGAACCGAACACGCTCTTACACCTTACACACATTTTGTGCGCTGTGTGTATGCCACGAACGAACAAGACAGAGCGCACAGCACACAGAGAGAAAGAGATAAAAGCAATTGCCCACAAAAATAAAGGTGGGTGGGGTATATGTGTTTCAATATATATATATATATATATATATATATATATATCAGATTTGTTCACAAAAGCGAAATAAAAGAAAGAAAGAAAAAAAGAGAATCAAATGACGATGTTGTGTGATGAACGAATATCGTGCGAATGGGCCAACAACCAAACACGTTTCAATGCGGCCGAATGAGACAGAGAACCAATACTGCGATTACACACCGAGAGATTTTGTGATGAGGTATCGAGATCAATTTCTTGTGAAATGAATGCGATATGCGAATATATATCAAGAATTCTTTGCTCTGATTTTCTTCTTCGAAAATTTACGAGAGAACTCTCTCTCTTTCAATTCTGATTGACACTTAGCTCACTCATTGAGTTTCTTCTTCATGTTGGATATATCCGAATGATGAGTTTTTTTTTCTTCTCTTTCTCTCTCTGTCTTTAGGCTTTTAAATAAGTTTAACATTTTTAGAGCATGCAATGTCTAACACTCACGATTATTTGTTATTCCGTTGGTAGGTCGAATTCCGAACCAATTTCACTGGTACATATAAATTTGATCCTCGTCGATTTCATGCGAGCATTCAAATTAAAATGTCTATTTTCATGTCCAAACATTCGAATTGGAGAGCAAAACGAACGAAATTCACACTCAATGTGGCTGGCCTAGCTGAAAGATTTGATGGAAACAGCCCAACAGATGATCCAAGCAGAGATTGGAGGCAATAGAAAAAAAAAACAGATCAACACTATTCCTTGTCACATCCACTAGCATCTAATTAATTGCACATATACATTTGATTTAGTAATTTTTCCACTGGCTCGAATTTTCGTATCCCGTTTGTGTGTTGTCTCTGGTCGTACACAAAAATTCTCAAATGAACACAATTTTGGTAAGCAATCAATGCCACAGAAAAGTGCCAAACAACTTGTCGTCGCTTAATTTTTTTTTGGAGCTGAGTTTGTTCTTTCTCGTTTTTTGGATACCTTTTTTCACGCTCCCTTTTTCTCTCTATATTCTTAACCACTTTTTTTCTATTTTATTTTGGCTACTTGGACGACACTCTTGTGTGTTCACAAGACATCTACACAAATAATATCATCAACCATAATTTTGCACAAATCCAATGACATTTCGACCATACAGCAGCACCGATCCTCGCGTATGTGTGTAGCAAAAAACCAAAACATCACTTTATTCGATTTGTGTTGGATGTGTGTATAGTTTTTTTTTTCTTTCATTCCTATTCAGTGAATAGTATTCACTGTTCAAGTATACTGGCACTGTTTGTTCATATGTGTTTTATTTTGAACACTCACACACTCAACAATGCAATGATGGTCTCATATGGCAATACTGTAGCTCCAAAGTAATGGTATTTATTTATTTTATGCGAAGAAATTTTCTAATATTTTTTTTGAATTTGTTGCTGCTGAATATTGAGCACATCGAAAACTTTTTCGTTCAATTGATTGACCCATCTGACAATTTTCAATGGAACCGATCACGTTATGCAATTATTGATTTTTATTCTGCCGGTTGGTTAAATTCGTCGTTCAGTCAAATACAATATAAATTCAATTGAACGTTACATCGACAACATTAACATTATTTCTTTTTTCAGTTCATCTTCTTTCAAATTGTTCACTCGGAGTTGATTTTTTTAAATAAAATTATTCGTTTTAGTCATTGGAAAATATGGTTGACCACTTTTCGGAATGTTTTTTTTCCTGTTCTTTCAAATTGGTTTTTTTTTTCAAACTTGAGTTTTATCAAATGGCGAATGTGACAATTCCGTGGGATTGAGAGAGGAACTCAAAACACTGGCATCCCAATTTTTCGTCATCTTCTTCTTCTTCGTCGTTTCGTTCGTCGGTTTCGATTTGCGAAACTTCGTTTTCGTTCAGGTTTGTATGAAGTTAGTTTTCTCATTCGGCCAACGGATAGTTGCCACTTTTGCACATAGATGGCAATGCATAATGGGACATTTTTCAATCTCTCTATCAGTAAAAAATAAAAAATGGTCGCAATTGGCATGAAGTTGGTCAAAAACAAAGCTGAATGGCAAAGCAGCAGCAGCAATCACAGTGCTGCTGCATGCAACTCAACAGTGGTAACACAGTTTCTCTTTCCCTCTCTCTCCCTCTCGGTATTTTCATTATGATTGGCTTTTGGACGAAAAGGGTACGAATCATGCAATTGAGCTAGAAAAAGAAAAGGCGAACGAATAAAAGAGAAAAGACGAACTGAGCATGAAAAGAGAACGAAGAGAAGAAGAAAAAAAACAATAGTTTTGACAGCATTTTTGGTCTTGTCGTAAGCTGTGCTCTTTCGATTGCACGCACACAATACACACGGAAAAGGAACGAAAAGAAAGAAAAATACAGCCGAACAAAAAAAAAACCTCCAAATTGTTGAGAAATTTTAGCAAAGAAAGTGAATATTTCGAAATAATAATAACAAGAGGAAAAAAGGTTAAATTTAAACGAAATGCTTGTGTAATTTATCAAATGTAGATGTGGATTTTTGGATTGTGCTAATCAACGGAAAGAAGAAGAGAAAAAGCGAGAGCATTTGAGATCGATTATTAAGAATTGTGCGAAAAGAAAAAGTCGACGGCGAAAATATAAATGAAACGAAATTAATCTGCTGTTGTTTTTTTTTTTTGTCGAGAATTTCAAAAAATTGTTCGTGTTTTGTGAATACAAAAAAAATAGTCTCAATCTCTTGCCGAATAAATTGTGACCAATCAAAAATAAAAAAAACTAAATAAAAAGTAAATGTGTTTGACTTTGGTGTATTGTTCGTCCATCAAGTGCTTGTGTGTTCGAAAGCCAACAATTTCTTTTTAATGAATAATTTTGGTTCGTTTGGTGCATGTTATATGAATTGAACTTGAAATCCGGCCGAGAAATAGACACATTATTATTATTATTATTGTTTTTTTCTTACCTTAATTTCAAAATCAAGGAAAGTCGCAACGAGCGCTGAGGCCAAACTCATAATACAGCTAGTTTTGTCACTATTACTTAGTCTCTCAGTGTATGTGTGTGCGTGTTTTTTTTTCTGTTCTACTCGACAAACCTACACCGAGCGCGAGTACATTGCCGTTGTTTTCGTTATTATTGTTGTTGTTGTTGTTTATTTCATTCAGGACACACATTTAGAAAGAAAGAAGAAGAAAAAAGAAATAAATAAACGCAAACAGAGACAAAGTCAAAGTCAGATAACCTTTTTATGTACGTGTTAGTATGTGCATTGAATATGAATACAGAAACAGGAAGAAAAAAAACACAGCAGAAATGAATTAAAAACAGAATGAACAAAAAAACTGAATAACACACGAACCAAATCGAGACATACAGAAAGAGAAAGAGACACGAGTGAAACGGCCAAGAAAAGTGCCTACCCTACATCGAATGCAACGGAAATCATTCTAAACAATTTTAGCTGAAGAATTTGTTGCTTGAATTTTCCAAAAAAAAAAAAACAAAGAACAAACAGGAGTAAAAAAAGCGAGACATAACGAAAGAGAAGCAAAATCGTGGACTGGTGAAAAACGTCGCAGCAAATGCCCAAATAATAAAGCAAAAAAAAAACGATTTGCAGTCGTCGTCGTCGATTTTTTTGTTGAGAAAAATTTCTATGAGGTAACAATAGCCTAGAAAGCAGTGGAAACGTTAAATCAACCTATATGCGAGCAGCGCGATGACTGTGTACGTATAACAAATTCTTAGTATCGATTTGTAAGTGTGCTAGTCTCTTTGTCTTCTTCTTTTTCTGTTGTGACTTTTCAAATTGAAATCGTCGTATTTTTAACGATCTGTCCGCTGGCTGTTATTGTTTTTGCTATTGCGGCGCTTTTTTTTCTCTCTCATTATTTCTTTTTCTCACACACAAACACTCTATGTGTGAATAGTTTTGGAGATTTTTTTTCGTGGTTATTGTTGTTGCCTACTCTCCTCTATTTTGCGTTAAATTCATTGATTTTATTTATTATTTTTTATTCATTTCTCTCATTCCATTAAGATACGGGTGGTGTACTTGTCGTATGTTTTTTTATGTGCAAACGGTATCATCATTGAATGATTACGTGCGCTGTTGCAAACACGATTAAGGCTGAATAGGTTTCATTCATTCATAAATGATTTGTTGTTCCTTGCTACGACTGCTATCTGTGTCGTCTGCCGTGCATGCGATTTTTAGTGAGTGAAGTCGAGTGAGTCGGTTGCAAAACAAGATAAATATTTGTGTCATTCCTTTGTGTTAGCATTGATGAGAGAGAATCGTATTGAATGCGCCGTTCTCTCTCTCTCTCTCTCTCTCTCTCTCTCACTCTATCTATCAATGTGTGTGTGTGTGTGTGCGTATGATTGTTTTATTATTGTTATTACTACACTTTTTATTTCCCTTTCCCCCCTCCCCGCCGTGCTTTGAGCAATGATTGCGCGCCTTGTATGAAATCGCGTGCGCGATGCAAGTTGCAACAATGAACAAACACGCTGCAACTACATGGACGCGCCTCGTGGAACGTCATAACATCGAAAACGGTTTATTTTTTTATGCTCCCTCTCTCTCTCTCTCTCTCTCTCTCTCTCTTTCTCTCTCTCTCTCTCTTTCACTGGTTCTGTGTGTATGCGCGCTCCAGTGGGACTTCTTCTTGGAATGTTCGTCTATTTGTGCCAATGCTCGAGTCTGGGTGCGTGCGTCATCCACGATAAAATACAAACAATGTCAACCTTCTCTCTCTCTCGCCCCCACAACCTGACGACCTCCCTTAAAATCGCACCATTTCGTGTTTGATGATACATTCGGCCGCCTCTATTTCGGTCCAATTTAATTAGTTGGTTGCTCGCTATTCGAAACCATTGCACATTGAGAAATAAAAGAAGAAGAAAAAACAACATTGGCAAACATCGAATCGTGCTGGTGTGTGTGTGTGTGTATGTACGTGAGCCTGAGCGCGCGCGCACACGTCATTCAGTGCTGAAGGCGGGTATAAGGTGGCCAAATGATGCTATACATAGAATGCAATTCAGTTATGTGCAAATGTGCGCTTGGCCGAGACATATTTTATGTGGTGCAAGTGCGGCTCAAAAGTTGTTAACAATGAACACAAAATATGGTTTGTTTGTGTATGCGCGCTTGTTTTCTCTACAATTTGCCAGCTATAGCCAGCGTATATTGGTACTGGCGCTGCTGTTTCTGTTTCGCTGCTGATGCCATCGTCATCGCCGCCGCTGTCGTTATTACATACGTTTGATGTGTTCGACGAGTACTTTCGACGTCATTTGTCTGTGTTGTTGTTGTTAGTGCTGCTGCTGCTGCTTTTTTCACGTACTTTTGCTTCATTCGCAGCCTCTTATTTTGTTGCTACTTTTATTGTCGTCATCGCTTTGTGTGTTCGCGTAATAGTCGTACAAACATTCGCGTGCAGAAATTCATTTCACGCATTTCAATTTACGCGGAAACAAACGGTAATAAATTCTGTTGTTATTAAAGTTTTTTTTTCTCATTTTTTTTCATTCTGCTCTTCGTTCCATCGCTTCTTTAGTATCTCTCTCGCTTCATTCGCTTTTTTCCCATTATCTCGTAGTGCTTTCGTTCGGTATTCTTGATAATAACGTTTGTGCAGTAACAGTAAAATGACGACGTGTAGCATAGATAGCCAAAGGAGAGAGAGAGAGAGAGAGAGAGATACATGTATGTATGTATATATATAAAGTATATACGTATGCATCGTGAATTGACTACATTTCGCATTTTGGTGATATTACGTTTTTGTTTTCGTTGAATTTGTTGTTTATTTCGCGTTATTTTTTCGTTGTTTCACACATTGTTTCCTCTCATTTGGCCTAATATCGATTAGGTGTTTTTTTCGCGCTGATGTGTGGTGCAACGGCTAACAGCACAGCGGCACAACAGTACGATGACGATGATGATACTGTTGATGATGTGTGTTTATGAATTATCTGTGTCTGTTTCCGGCTCGAATTGGATACGTGAAGTTTTGCAATGTGGGCCATTAAGTGCAAGTGTATGCTGTTCTCTTTTAAATCATTCAGCTTTTCTGTGGTTTTTGCTACTACTACTTGATGTTTGTTGGTTTTGTTGATTCTGTTTTCTTCTCGTTTTTACGTTTTTGGTTCGAGGTTGTCTTGTTATACTCTCGTATTAGTTATTATTGATGCACATATATTCACGACCCCTATTCAAATCCCATTCAGCCACATTTCAAAACAAAGTATAACGAATCTAAGTGAAAAATTATGGTGCTACACGTATGTATATATTCACATTCTTCCACATTCTGCAGATCAATTTTCATTTATTTGGCGCGTTTCTCTCGGCTCTTTCTCGATATATAATATACATGTATGCCTATACCTATACCTATACCTATATTTATATTCCGTCTTTCCATTGTCACTTCATAGCCTATTACGAAAGCAATTGCAGCAAACCAGCACACGGCGCATTTTATATTGCAACATAGAACAAACCGATTTTCACATTCCATGTTTTTTTTTACTACTTTCCGTACTATGGATGCATAACGAGCGCGTGCACGCCGAATCGAACGAGAGCGAGAGAAAGAGAGAGAGGGAGATAGCGAAAGAGAAGAGACAAAAAAATATGTATGCCACACAGAAAATACGTTGCATCGCAAATAATGAATCAAATATATACACACACCCGTATGGAATTTTGCGCGCCGGTGTTCAGCTGCTGCTGCTTGCAACTGTAAATAATATAAAAGTATATAAATGCATAGCGGACAATCTGTCGATAGATTTATCGAACATTCTGGCATTGTGTGCTGTGATATGGTTGTATTTTCGTTTCTCTAGCGCTCGCTCGCTCTTTTCTGACAAAATACCGTATCGCGTTCATTTGGTTTTGGTGGGTATGTGAGAACAGGGATGAAAATGCAAAGTGCATTGAATATTCTGCGCCGATTCCCGCTAAATTTCATGTCAAACGATAAAAATGTGCTCACTAGCAGCGAGTCAATGTGTGGGTGGATGGGTGTGTATGAGTGTATTCCAGCAACACGGACGACGATCAGGGGAATTTTAACTATTGGATTTGCGTAACTCTCGTTCTGGTCTATGATATGAGATAAGGCAACGATACGATACGATACGATCCATCTATACATCTACAAATATTACAATTCACATTTACATGAAGACGAAGATAGAGATAGAGAGGGAGAGAGAGAGCTGGAGGAAGGCAAAAAAAATCCTCTTGCTTTCTCCATCACATTTGTTATCGCCTCTGTGCACCATTTTCTTTCTTTGTCCCATAGATCTCTCTCTCTCTCTCTCTCTCTCTCTCTCTCTCGGCACTGCAACCACTCTCACATACGTAGCCAAAAAGCAAACGTAATTACTGTGTGCGCACACGATATGCTACCTACTGATTATATGATGTGTAAGCCAATGCACTATGTATCAGTGCATCGGTATGTTTTGTAGGATTCAGGATCTTTCACACTCGTAAATAAAGTGAATATAGGTTGTCGACTTATTTCTCGGTCATATTTTGATGCGTCTGTTTGTTTTTCTACGTGTATAGTGCAGTTTTGTTCGATTCCATTGCCTCTACCTCGCTGTGTGTTGTTCAGTGAACAAAATAAATTGTTGTTCGTCTCTGGTTTGTCATTCATTTCGCGCGCGCGTTTGTGTATCGCAAATTCCGAATGCAATTTTAATTTCGTCAATTTTTGATTAAGCCATTAGCTCAAAAGTTCTAATAAAATCGTATATTTGAATAGAAAAAAGAGATCATTCCGCATTAGATAATAGAAATTTGATGAAATATTGAGCAGTGTATGTGAAAAGTGATTGAAATTTTTGGTTAAAAGGAATAAGCGATAGAGAGAGAAAAAAAAACTTTTTTTTGATCGGGATCGTGTTATATGGTGCATAGTGGTATACAGTACACACAATATGCGCGAAACATAAGATGCAACACAGATTTTTTACTCATAGTCAGACGCACATCGCAGTTATATACTATATTAGATTACATTACACACAGAAATCCGTTGCCATTCATTGAAGGAGTATGCGTAGCAAATTTCCATCGAGCCTGACGAAGAAGACCCACCAAATGCCTGTAAAGACCAACTAGAAACATACATATATATATATATATATATATGATATGATATTATTAAGGCAGTAGAAAAAAAAAGAACAACAGTTCAAATAATAATAATTAGCATCATCACAACTGCAATAATTGATTTTTTTTTCCTTGTTTCGTGCATTTGTACACACAGTCTTACACAGCGCCAATAAACATATATAGTGTAGTATAATAGTTCTATACTATATATCATAGATGAGCGCAAATGTCGCTCGAGTTTGGCTGCTGATTGTGTGAATGAAGCGAAAAAAGCGGAGTATTTGCAGTTTTCTCGACATTTTCTTTTTCTGTATTTTTCATATTCAGTTCCCTCTTTTTCTCTCTTACACTTTATATGCACATGCACACACCCATACATATTTATGTACACTATCGGTTAGCATTTCGTTTTTCGGGCGTTTTTCCCTTTATCTCATGATGAGTGTGGAGCGCGCGCGAGCAAAGTGACGTTTCACTCCATGTATCTACTCTCCTTTTGATTTGAGCCATCATAGCCATAGTAGTCGTGTGTTGCCCATGAGTCGTTTTGTGGCTGTGTCTCGGTCTTGGCGTGAATTCCCATACAACTTTGGAATCTCTATATGATTTCAATGTAAAAAGATGATGCAGTCAAAACAAAACATCATGACGACCCAAACAGAATTAATTTACGACGTAATTGGATGTTGTTTGTGTGTATGTGCGCACAATGCCGTATTATATTTTTTTCTTCTTCTGCTTCTCAAATTGATTGTGCATTTGCAATACTTAGTCATTCGATACTCACTCGTGTATAACGATATTACATTCGTATGAATTGGGATGAAGAGAGAGAGAGAGAGAGAGAGAGAGAGAGAACACAAAAAAAGATGAACAAATAATACGCATACTGAAGTGAGTAAATCATGGGAAAATCGCGGTAAGATAAGAAAAAATCTGATTTTCAAACGGGGTGAACAAGCACACAGAAATTCAATCAAAATTTACGAACGAATTGTGTCTTTGTGTGTGTGAGTCAATCGACACAAATGCAAATGAATGAAGTAATTAGTTTTCTAAGTAAAAGTCGCGCCAAGTGACCAAATCATTCCAAAAATAACCATAATTCTGTTAATGATTGCAGCTTAAAATAATTCCCAAGAATTGACATACACCAAACGCTCGGGGCTTCACGCAAAAAATTTATATAGCAAAATCTATTTGTATTATTTAAATCATGTAAAATTCACGCTAGATTTCAAATATTTTGTATTATTGCCCGAATGCGTTGTTATTGTTCATATTCACCTTGAACAATATGTTCTGGAAGTGGGTTTTGGTGGATCTTCAGGATGGATCAGACTGGGTTTGACAATGTCCCGGTCCATCCTGAGGATCCACTTCCAGAACGAGGATCGGTTTTGAACAATCCTGCGGATCCACCAAAACCCACTTCCAGAATTTTTGAAGCGATAATGACGTCAACAGATTAGACGTGGTTCTGCTGACAGTCGGTTTATTGAACAAAATTGAGCAAAATTGAAATTATGCATACATATAGCTGTTTAATATGTTGAAACATAAACAAATTCATATTATTTGTTCATATTTTAAATATGGAAATTGGCGTGAGGCCCCTAGACCAAACGCTTATGAAATATTATTGGGATATGAAAATTCTTAGTAAACAAATATGCATACTACAACTCAAATATTCTTACTCGATAAACACTCATAGAGCGAAGTAACGACGACGACGACGACGACAACAACGACAATAATAACAACAAAAGAAAAAAAAATATTTATGAAGAAACTGTTGTGTCAAACCATATCGTAGCAATTGATTTATTCAGAATTATCAAGTATTTCGAATTGCATCACATCTCAAACTCTGCCGCCTCGTGCGCTCACCGCATTTTACATTTGCACAACGGTTTCCTGAATAAATTATTATTTCGGTATTGTTTGTAATGAAGCAATACAAAAATAACAAACCAACAACACCAAACAAAACCTAGTCTCATATTCTAATGAGCTCTGATTTCTCTGAAAACTGGCGGCTAGTAATGAGTGCGGTCGTTTTATTTGTAGCTAGGTCATATCGAAACAATAGAATGAATACCAGGTATTTTTTGTGTGTGTGTGTGTTTTTTTTTGTCAAGGTTTCCGATGCGTTTTCGTCTCAAGGTGCATGCCTTTTTAATCCGATTTATGCTCAACAGTCCTCATTCTCCGGGTGAAATGTATAAATTTTGGGGTCGTTTTATGATTCTTCTTTCTCTCTTTGTTTGTTTATTTGTTTTTGTTTTTTTTTTGTTATTTCTGCCGAAAATTGGTATTTTATTTTCTTTCACTCTATCGCCTAATCTGGTGAACTCGTGAACTGTGGCTGTAAATTGTTTTGATTTGACTTCTTCCTGTGGCTTTTATTTTCGGTCGTCGTCGGTTGTTGTTGTTGTTGCCAAAAAATTATCTGTTTATTCTTCGTTGCTATTGCTGTGCGTTGTATCCAGTTGGCCGCTCGAAAAATTAAAACCAATTTTCTATTTATGCCACGGTGCTAGACATGGTATTTGGTTTTCTTTTTCTTTTCTTATTTGCATTATGTAAGGCCATGACCCGGTTTGTGTTCGTTAAATGACTCGTAAGTTGAAATTTTTCCATACCAAATCACACAAACACATAAAAATGAACACAACAAGAACAATAATAAAAAAAAAGCCAACACCATCACCATCGAAATAATAAAACTGAAGAGTTCGCCAGAACTCTTCACCGTTATGGACACGAAGCTGTTGCAACTGAGACGGCAGCAGCCAATTAATGTCTTCATCCGATATGAAGCCCCAATCTTGCGTCTTGCTACAAGGCTATGCTATGTATATTATATGCTTGCATCGCATTAAGCAAATATTTTGATTTAAGAGAAGCTGAGAAAACGATGTAGAGAGAGAGAGAGAGGGAGAGAGAGTGTGTATTTTCCATTAATTCTCCGTCATTAAGTTTCTGAGAACAAGCAGCTCCTTGTCTTGTGATGCACGAAAAATTCCCGGTTAAGGAAACAAAACACAAATGCAGTGAATCGTTTCATTATTACTAGAGAAAGAGAGTAGTTGGTGGTTAGTTACTTCATTCATCCTCCTCCTCTTCTTCTTCTACTTCGTCTTCATCATCCTATTTGCCACATTTTATATTTTATCTGAGAGACAGAAAGTTGGGAACATTTTCAATGCAATGGTTTTCATTAGCACCATATCATAATTATCGTTGGACTTTATACTCTCTTTTTTTCCTTTTCAACTTGCATTGAAATTTGAAACAGTTCACATTTCGTGTGTATGCCATCAGTTGTCGATAGATGAGTATATGTGTGTGGGTGTGTGTATACACTGTACATGCGTGTATACACTGTACTTTTTTGTGCATCGGGAAGAGCGTATATTTATGAAATATGCTTCTCTACCATATAACAGTGTTACTTTTGATCTCAAAGAGAAATCAAGTATCCTCTTTGCATCGTCGTTTGTGTAATATAAACAAGCGTGTGAAATATAAACGAATGACTCCTTGAAAATGAATGAAATATAGCCAAGAGATGTACTGACTGATACGAAATGTAAAACGAACGAAAGAAAAAGGAACGAAAACCAAACACACAGAGATAGAGATATAGAGCGAGAGAGAGGTGAGCGTGAACGCGCGATCGTGCTAGACAAAACAGACTCAAGAGAGACATTAATTGTATGCGATTCAAATGAATGGATCCGTGGTGCTCACTAGTAAAAGCAAGTTTTAGTCGGTCCGGATAGTCAGAGATCCGATTAACGACCAAAATTATAGAATTGAGCGAAAATTAGCGAACCGCTTCATGTATAGATATATACGTGTATATAGGATACATATGTATATACTTGGAATATCTTTCTTTGATAGTGCGTTGAACGCCCAAAAAGAAAGGAAAAAAAAGACCAGAAGAAAGACAGAAGAGCACACACAAAAAAACGACGACTCAGGGTTTGCGAAAAGCAAGGCAAGTGACCGGGCGACAGTGAGCAATGAACACAAACGGCTGCTGGCGAAAGCAGGCAAGCAAGAGACAAGAGGGATTTCGATAGAACACACACACACACACACATTATTCATGTTTGGTGTCAGCCTTAGTCATCCACACAACTAATTATAGTCAAGAGTGCCCGTTATACATACATATTATATATTTTAATCCGAACAATATTTCGTATTAATAATAATTCTCTAAACTTATTTATTGCCTGATATTTGATTTCTGTCTTTTTTTCTCTCTCTCTTCCACTCACTCTGTCGTCGCCACATTAGAGAGAGGGTATTGTGTGGCTTGAACTTTTCATCATATTTATGTTCGTCTGTCTGGCGATGAATTTTATGACCTGACTTTTTGAAAGAAGAAGACTAAAAGAAAAATGACAGTGTCTAGAAATTCGCGCAATCGAAATGCATACGCACACACACACATACACTCATTTCGCGATTTTACCTAGGTTTTACGATCAAAACAATATTCAAACCGAAATGATAAATAATAAATTTCTATATCCTTAATTATAGTTGTGAGTGTGGATTGAAATGTCTTTTGTCGTTCGTTCTGTTTTTTTTTGCTTCTTCTGTGTTTTGTTGTTCGTCGTTGCGTGAAAGATCAATGCGATGCGGCCCATTCTAAGCATTTAAAATGCGGTCGCAAGACAAGAATGTTTAAAGCCAGTGTAAATTCCAATGAATCACGAAAAAGAAAAAAAACGAATCAAAAGGGAAACAACATTGCAACAGCAAAACTGTTTATCAACAACATTCAAGTTATTCGAAACACACAGTGTGTATGGTGTGTGTTGCTGTTGTTCTTTATTATTATTATTTTTTTGTCGTCATATCTTCGGAATCGAAACCGTTTTCTATTTTTTTCTTCTTTCAATATTCACATTTGTGTGTTTGCACAAATCATTCAGAAGAAGCAGCAGCAGCAGCAATAACAAATCGCATGAAAACAAGGAATAATATGCTCTTTTGCACATATAATAACAACACATGCATACATAGACAAACAAACATACACGTACACACACACAAAACGGCACAGTTGAATTTCTCGCACTGTATGAATTTACATGCTGTCTCTCCCAATGGCCAAATAGCAAACAAAATACACACACGAACACACACACACACACACACACATGCACATTTACAACCAACGGTCGTCACCATTTCAAGCATACACACAAGCATGCATTGGCACAGCACTACACACAATCAATTCGCAATAAACAAAGCAACCCGACGAAACGGTTTTATTTTTCGTCTTCTTCATGTAAATTTTCGTCTTATGTTTTTCCAACGTAAGGTCTCACCACTTCTCAAGTTTCGTTATGCGCTTTTTTTCTCCTTCAATATTATCGTGGGATTCGTTGTGTTTTGGTTGCTGCTGCTGCCGTTGTTGTTGCTATCTGTGTGTATGCGCCGCTGTATGTGCAAATGTAGTTGTTGGTTTTGGTTTCAGTTTCGTTGTATGTGTGTGGTGCTCTGTGCTGCTTGTCTTGTGCTGTGCTGTGCTGTGCTGTGCTGTGCTGTGCTGTGCTCGGTGTGTATGTGCTACAAGCCACGATTGTTTGAAATTGATCCAGAAAAGTGCAAGAAAGTCGCAGTCACATTTTTATTTTTATATATTACACACAATTTTATTTTCATAAACTAGACGCAGTCATCAACACAACACAAAACAGTGCACGTTTGATCCGGCGCTCGCGTTGAATCAAACGTAAACCAGACAAACAAAACAGTAAAAATGCGTGAATTTCTGCTGCGTTAGCTAAATTAAAAGAGAAATATAAAAAAAACGGTGTTTTCTCTCTGTATTGGCTGGCTGGCTGTTGTTATTGTTGGTGTTTTGTTCAAAGCAAATAGAAAACAACAACACAACAACAAGAACTAAATACGATTCAAGTAATAAAGTATACGAGAGTTGAAAAAAGAAATAAATAAAAAAGAGACGCGATTGAAGAAGAAGTACAAGCAACAGCAGCAACAAGAAGTGAGAGAGCAAAGAAAAAAAAAATGGGAAAAAGAGACATTATTTCGTCGTGTCATTGTTTCGGCTGCGTTTGTTTGATGTGAGAAAGAGTGTGTAATTAAAAACCGAATGCTGTGTGTTACATGGCTTAAGTGCAAATAATGTGACAAAGACGAAAATGAGAAAAGAAAAGAGAGTGTTTGCTTCCCTTTGAAGATTTCCCCAGCCGAACACAAGAAATACGTACACAACAAGCACAACGACACACACACATAGAACAAAAACAAAAACAAAAATTGCAAAGAGTGAGAGAGCACATACGTACAATAAATGAAATAGACAAAAATAAAACAAATACGTTATAATAAAATTAACGGCTTTTTGTTCGAACGCTGTGCAAATGAGCGTTTAGTGCAAATCCGAAACGTTTCGAAAAAAGAGTTATATATACATATTATGTTTTGATAGAGAGACAGTGACACAAGGCACTGCTGTTCCCTGTGTGTTTTTTTTCGTTACTCTCGCGCGCGCAATTACTAACTTCATCTGATTTGTGTTTTGTGTTCAGTTTTTTTTTGTGCTCTGTTGTTGTCCGTTTGTCTCTCCGTCTCGTGATATTATTTATTTTTTTTTGTTTCTGTTCACTTCGGTCTGTCGATGTCTCTCTTACTCTTGCTCCGACTCTATCGATCCAGTGCTTTTCGAGCAAATTTTCATATTTGCTATTTTGTGTACATTTCGTCGACATTGTCGTCTGTATATATATCGTGAAATCAAATTGGGACATACACGACAGGCAACAACAACAACAACAACAACAAAAATGGTTATTATTGCAATTTTCACTCGTTCACTTACTCATTTATTTATTTTGTTGTGTGGTTGGTCTTTTTTTCATTGTATTTTTTTTTGTAAATCTGATTATGTGCTAAATTCCTGTGCAGAAAAGTGCATCGAAAATCGTATGTGCGCGAAGAGCAGTCTTACAAGTATAATGGTGTTCATGACAACAACAACAAAAAAACCAAAACCCAAAGATAGAAAGAGAAAAACAAACCACACTTAATAATTGTAAATTCCCAACGGATTTTGGTCGTTGTTCATAGAGTATGAATCTGTGTTCATAAAATTCAACGACTCTCTCGCCTAGAAAGTCATATACTCTCACACAAGTCATAACGCACCATCTTTGGTGCATGTAATTCAAAAGCAAATAAATCAGTAAAATGACAAATTGCCTGTGCTAGCGAATTTGGGCTAGCAGGAGAGAGGAAGAAATTGAGAATAAAAAAAGTCCATCTCAAAAACACACATCCATCAACAGCAGCAGCAGCAGCAGCAATAGCACACTGCACACATATGCTTGGCAAATTGGGCCATATTGTGAAATAGGCACGAAGACAGCATTTAATACACATTTTGGATTGACTCGACCATCGACGTCAATCCAGGAATAGAAGAAAAAAAGAAACAAATACATACACAGACACACAGTGACAGAACAGGATACAATAGTGGGGGTGGTTGTAAACAACAACAACGGCAACAGCGACGGCGACAAAACAACAACCGTTTCGTTTCGCTGGAACTCCAATGAGTTGATAACCAAGTACAAGGAATTTCGATGATTGCGAATTGAAAATAAACTGCAAAAACATCGGTCAGAGAGAGAGAGAGAGAGAGAGAGAGAGAGAGAGAGAGAGAGAGAAGAAGAAGAGGCGAACAGTAAGAGTATTAGAAGTTCAATAGAATTGTTTATCTTGAATGCGAAAAAGCTCTGTGTGTCGCTCGCGCGCTCGCCCTCGCCCTCGTCCTCTTTTGTTCCCACCTTCGTAGCTCGTTGTCGTCATCATCATCATCATCATAGTCGTTGTCGTCGTCATTGCCCGTAGTCGAGTTGGATGGAGGCACTGAGTGGCTCGCTCGCTTGCTCCAATCCATTGGCAACGGCATTTTATCTCGGTTTCACTATCGTTTGTACACTTTCTGGCTTCGTTTCTATCACCGTCATCGCAGAACATGTGCACACAAAGTGTGTATATTCTCAATATATTCGGAACTATGGTCATACTTTATATGCGAGTGAATGTGTGCAGTAGCAGCAGCAGCATGTACTTATTGTTTGGCCATGTGTATTTCGTGTGATGTTTTCGTCATTTCTCTCTCTCTCTCTCTCTCTCTCTCTCTCTCTCTCTCTCTTTTCTGCTCGCTCTCCCTCTATCCTCGTGCAATGCTATGTTCGATTCATGTCGGCTCGTTTTATTGTTGTTGCATTTTTCCTTGTTTATTTTTCTTCATTTAATTTTTGTTTCTCGTGGGAAGTTTTGACTTTCTGCAATTCACATAGAGTCACTCTCGCACAGTCATGCACGCATACAATGTCGTTGCGAACGCACACGGTGCGCGTGTTTGCGACCAGAAAAAAAAACTTGTATTATATTGTAGTGTATCTCGCACTCGCACTTCGTTCATTTAGCACACTGTGGCGGCCGAGAGTATTTCCAATGAAACTGTCGTAATTTCATGTGACTCACACATCCTCTCTTTATTTTGTTGTGCTCTTTTTTCTCTTGGCTTCTTTATTATTATTGTTGTTGTTTTTATTATTATTTTTTAACTAGCGCAGCTCAGTCAGAGGCAACAAAAAAAAATAGTCTTTGCGTAGCATTCGTTGCACGACAACGATCCAATTCTCTCTTTCGCTCACTGTGTATCGTGTGTTTATCTAAACAGGGTTCTTTCGCGTGGTGTGACTTGTGAATTGATCGAACCGAACAGCAAAGAACGAACGAACGTACGTAACTCACATCGAAGTGCAACATTCAATTTTTGACGGTTGACTCGACCGAGGCGACTTATCATTTTTCTCCTGAAATTCGTTGTGAAATTACATATTTGTTTTTCTGTTTTGATTGTGTAATATCATTGCGAATTAAATCCATTGGAATTGGCTGTAGTTAGTGCATTTTTCGAGGTTTTTTTCGCTCCTTCTTATTTTTTGTATTGTTGTTTTCGTGGCGCTTTCCATACATAACAAATGATTTATCGGAAAATTGGTGCGAAATGCGAAAGGAAAAAAACAACATATTTGTGTAGCGAATATCGTGAGCCAAACAATTGATTTGACGCATTCGCTCATTCTTGAGATTCCTGTGCACACGTTTCCACTGTGTCTTATCTCAATGTGACGTGATTTCATACAGTTCGTGTGTGTGTGTGTGTATGTGTGTGTGAGAGAGAGAGAATTCGTGCGACAATTTTCAAGTGACTACTGTAAAATAAGTGGTCGGCAAAGAGAAGAAGAAGAAGGAAAATATATTATGATTCATTGTCAAACAAAACTGTGAGTGATTCACGTGATTATATTGACGGCTAATTGTTTGTGTTTTGTTTTTATTTTTTTGTGTGCTGACTCATTTAGGTCATAGAGAAAATTTGGTGGAAGAGACTGTTTCAACGGAAGCCGATGTTAGCCATGCAAGATAAATCTGGATTGATACAAGAGCCAATTATAACAAGTCCAGACATTCGACGAGCAGTGACCACAATAGGCCAACGCGAAGAAGAGAATTTATTGCCAACAAATACACAAATCATTGTACCAAATATAGAGATATTGCCATCACAGATGACCAAATCACAACAGGCAACAATGGTGAACGAGGCAGCGACGTGCTCATCAACGACAACAGCCAATGTTGTCGATACCATCAATTCAAATACAAATACACATGCAAACAGTAACAGAATGTCAACCCCATCAATGAATGAACAAAATCAAGTGTCCACACGACCGCAGTCACAGCATACGAATAATTCCCATACAACTGGCACAAATAGCAACAACCCATCATTGGCATCAACACCAACATCAGCAACAACAAATAACACGAGCGGCGGCAGCAATGCACGTACCGCCCGACGAACGGCCAACGATTATCGCTTTGGCAAAACCATCGGCGAGGGAAGCTTTTCAAGTGTCTACATTGCCCAGGACATTCACACGAAAAAAGAAGTAGCGAGTAAGTTTCGATCATTTTTCTTTTTGTGGGTCGATTTGATTGGATTTTTTTTTCTCATTCCTTTTCCGATTTTTGTTCTGTACACTTTATGCTCAGCTCAAATTTAGTTTCGTAATATATAACATCTTTTTGTTCGGATTTTCGTTCGAGATTTTACTCACAATTTTTTTTTTCTTCTTTTTTTCTCGACATACAGTTAAAGTGTGCGAGAAACAATTGATAATACGTGAGAAAAAGGAGCGATATGTGAAACGTGAACGCGAAGTGATGCACATGCTGAGCAATACATCGGGTTTTGTTAGCCTTTTATGCACGTTCCAGGATACAAGAAACTTGTACTTTGTCATGACGCTGGCCAAAAATGGTGATCTGCTACCGTACATCAATAAAGTCGGCTCGTTTGATTTTAATTGTACGCAATTCTATGCGGCCGAACTGATTTTAGCCATTGAACATATGCACCGTAAAGGGATCGTGCATCGAGATCTGAAACCCGAAAATATCCTATTGGACGAGAATATGCATACGCTTATCGCTGACTTTGGTTCGGCGCGCATTTTGGACGAACGAAATGGTGAATCGGATTTTGAATCTCGCAAACGAACCAACAGTTTTGTTGGCACCGCACACTATGTATCACCGGAAATTTTAAAGGGTGAACAATTAACCAAAGCCGCCGATTTATGGGCGTTTGGCTGTATAATTTATCAAATGATCTCCGGTTTGCCGCCATTTCGGGCGGGCAGCGAGTATTTGATATTTCAAAAGATTTTGGAACGTGACTTAAACTTTCCCGATGGATTTAATAAACTTGCAAAAGACTTAGTGCAACGCCTTATCCAAATCGAGCCCATCAAGCGGCTGGGTGCAAAAGATCAAAATGATTTATACGAAAGTATACGAAACCATGAATTTTTCGATGGCATCGAATGGGACAAGTTGCGAATACAAACACCGCCACCGATCCATCCGTATTTGCCGGGCCTCGATGGGAACGGTGACGAAGAGACCGTTGAATATAAAGTACCTGAACATCTGGAACCAGGACTTGGTGATGAACAACTGAGAAGACTGCTTGAACTAGAACTGGGCACATCGAATACATCCAATCACAAGAAACCGCCACCAGAGCCTAAAGGTTTGTTTCAAATTTTTTTCTCCCCATTTCCATTTCACTTGATTTCATTTCGATTCCATCACAACATTGTATGGTCGCTCATTTTTATCTCATACTGAATGACAATTAAACAAAAACAAACATGAAATAACAACACAATTATCATGTCGCAGTGCATTAGTGCTGCAGCGAAAAAAGCAAAACAAAAACAACTGAATCACAATGTGATGAATCTGCGCTCGCACACAGGGCAAACAAGTGAAAAAAAAGACAATGTAATGACAATGAAATAAACAGAACCGAACCGAACAGAAAAAAAAACATACATTTATTGATTTCATTGTGTTTACCGTTTGCAGAAATTGAACAAACAACGGTGACTGTTCAAAAGGACGATAACAAATGGCAGCAATTTGTCGAAGGCGAAGTAATTGTGAAACAAGGATTTGTCAACAAGCGAAAAGGATTATTTGCACGCAAACGTATGCTATTGCTAACCACCGGACCGCGCCTATTCTACATCGATCCCGTGCAAATGGTGAAAAAAGGTGAAATCCCCATGGGCCCAGAACTGCACAGTGAAGCGAAAAATTTTAAAATTTTCTTCGTGCATACGGTAGGTTGAAGAGAAAGACATTAACAATTTCTTGACCCTGCACATTTTTGATAAAATATGACGAAATTAACGATTTTCTTTTGTCTCTTTTCTGTTGTTCTTCAAACAGCCAAATCGAACATATTATTTGGAAGATCCAGAGGGTTATGCGCTGGAATGGTGTCAGTCAATAGATAGTATGTGCCAAAAATATTTTGGTAATCCATCATAATTTAGATGCAAGTAAAAATAGATGGAAAGTGTTAGTTGGTGCGCGTATGTGCATGAGATCATGTTTGCCAATCAAACTGACACAAGAACAACCAAACAGTTCACTGCGATAAGGCCGTAATAACGGCAAAAAATTCTGCGGCCAACATCACGTGTGCGATTGAGAGATGATTGAAAGGCAAATGGCTCTTGCAACTTACCATGCACTTGAATATTTATTTATAATAAAAAAATTGAAAGAAAAACACATGATAGGAAAAACAACTAAACTGAAATTAGGCTAGATACAAAAAAAAAACACTTAGATAGTCACGGAATAAAAATTGAAAAATAGAAGAAAAAAACAATTATTTAATGAAAAGAAACAAAAAAAATTAAACAAATTTACTGAAAGCAACAGATAACCGATAAAAAAGATATGTGTGGGAATTGGTTTTTCTTCTTCTTTTTTTTTTTCGTTTGTTTTGGGGCGAATCATGAATGTGTGTGAAATAGTAGAAAAAGGTGAATGAATGATAGTCAAATTATTCGAATCGAAATGAACGAATGCGATCAACAGGATAATGAACGAGGTCAAGGCCCTGAAGGACGAGAAATTAAAATGACAAATTGAAAATGTGATTTTCTTGTCGTAGACGTTGACGCATCCGTGTGCTTTGATTCGATCGATTTAAAGTGTGTGAAGTGAAAAAAATGAAATGAAACATATACAGTGCATTGTGTGTATTTGAAGTGAACATAGAAAAAAAAAACACAAAATAATATTCAAGCGAGTGAACGAGAGGGAATGAATTATAAGAATCTAGAATAAATGATAATTGTAAAGGTATCAAAATTGAACCGATAGATAAGCGATTGGACCTTACAATTGAGAGACGAAAATTGAAAAGTTAAAAATAGAAAAACAAACCCACACACACAGCTAGCAATTTATAAACAAAGGAGTAAAACCATCCAATAATTTAAATTATTTATTATTTATTTGTTAAATAAAATGAGAGCAAGAGAGATAAAACACATGAAAACAAACACATACACATACATATATATATATATATATGTGAAGGCGCCGAAGCCAAGCTAGATGAAATGCTAGAAAATAAGGAAACAAAGATTTAGTGAAAAGAAAAAAAAAACAAAGTGTTACTTTTCATTTCAGAGAGCTGCAAGACAACAGAAGTAATAAAAGAAACGAAGGAAAGAAAATGGAAGAAAGAAAATGGAGGAAAAAAAATGAAGCGAATAGTAGTAACCGAAAAAATAATTTATTACAGGAACAATAAAACAAAGTAAATTAAATTCTTAATTATTTAATAGAAATCTGCCCTTTTTGTTGTAGGTACTTTTTTTTGTTTGTTTCTTTATTGTTTTACAATTAGTTTTACAATGTGAATATATGATTTGAGTTTTTTTTTTAATAGAAACAGGGTAAAATATTGCATTAAGAAATGAAAAAGACTCTAACCTGTGTGTGACATGATCGCGGGGTCGTGCTTAGAACGAATTTTTTTTTTGTTGTTGTTTTGTTCGGGATCGAGCGTAATATTTCTCCCTTAATTTCTTCGTTCATTTTTATTTTGGTTCTTTTTGGTCGATACAAATAAAATGAAATCAATTCATCGGCGAGTCGCCGACGGCAACGAGTTCCTTCAAAACGTGCGTCTATAGATTCACATCTAATCGAAAATCACTTTTCGACCAGATTTTGTTCGAGTATACATTTGTCTGCCTTCTATTTTTTTCGATACTACTTTCGCAAAGAAAAAGCAAATTTTCGATTTGTTCAAGTGATTTCAATTTGCTGTTTTCAATATGATTACATCCAATATTTTTCTTTTTCTATTTTGTTTGTCCAATGGGATTTTGTTTTAAATTTTGAATTAAAATATTTATTATTGTCATTATAAATGTGTGCATAAATGGTTTTTTTTTTGTGTGCGCGTGTTAGAATAAACAAAAAAAAACGGAAAGAATTACTATTTGCAGCTCCAGTTTCTTGGCAGCTCACACACTGAAAAAAACATATAAGAACTAAATCCTGACTGAAAAACATTTAAATTTAAAAAGAAAAAGAAAAAGAAAAAGAAAAAGAAAAAGAAAAAAAAAAACAAAATGAAAAAAAATGAAACATAAAAATCGCTGAAAATGAACTCAACTAACAATTGATAGACTAGAAATGTCATGGTTTTTTTTCTCGCTCGTTGCAATCGCTGCATCTTGCAAATTAAACGGATATTTACAATAAATAAGAATAGCTTGTCCATTCAGGTGAATTATACATTCAGTGCTATTAGTTCAAATTTTTTTTTAGATACAAAACCGAACCGTTTTCATCCTGTTCTTTCTTCTTTTTTTGAATAGTTTAGTCAATTTTCGTAAATTTGTCGTGCCTAAATAAATGGCATATTCGATAACAAATTAAGAACCAACCAAATCAAAATCAAAACGAGTAAAAAGCAAGCAAGTCTCTCTCTCCCTCTGTCTATCTCTCTCTTCAATTGTTTTTTTTTTTCTTCATTGGAGATAATTAAACTGTTTATCCGTATGCATAAATAAACAGGTATCAAAAACTCTATAGTCATTCGTCTGTGAAGCTAATTAGCAAGTGAGAATATATAGTAGACTTTTCATATCCAGAATATTTAAATAAAGCGGGAAAAAAAACTGAAGCAAACAATAACGCATACCTTTAGTGCAAAAGCATTTATTGCTCTCCCTTACGCAAACGCCATCTATTCGGTGCGAACATGAAAACAAACAAAGTGACTCCAGCTGCCAACCGATACATGAATCGGTGGAAATGAGGGCAGTGTATAAAAAATATGCCGAACAAAACGAACCACAGCGTTTCCTCTATATAGAGATGTTGTTGTATTATAACTCTGTATGGATCAATTTGTTTGTTTTCATGTTCAAACTGAACAGATGGCGCTCGCGTTAGGTGAGGCAATGAATGCTTTTGCACTAACCGTATGCAATAACGTCAACACAAAACAGAGAAAAGACAAAGACGGGAGAAGAAAAAAATCGCTTAGAAAACAACAACAACAAATTATAATGTCCATATGTTTTTTTTTTGCATCTGTTGGATGGTTTCGTTTGCGTTGTTCGATCGATCGACCGATCGATCGGGAGAGAGATAGATGGATAGGGAGAAATGAGCAGTTCAGGTAATTCAGGCGCAGCTTCTGCATTTGCAGCCGGACAAAAGCATTTGTTTCCACATACCCATGCATATTTATTTAGGCAGTTGAACAATTAGAACGCAATTACGAGTTATTTTCGCATATTAAAAACAAACATAAAACACACGAAAAAAAGTGGATGACGACGAAAAATAAAACAAAGCAAAAAAAACGACGACGACGATGATGATGATGATAAAAAATATACATATACTGCGATCGGTGATCACTGAACAGACTAAACCAATACATGATAATGATAAACTTATCTTTATATAATATATATAGATGACAGACCCAAGCAACTATTTATTGAGTTAAATACAGTTAAAAACTAAAATTACAAAACAACAACAACAAAATAAGAAGAAAACAAAAATTGCAAACACATTTAGGGAGGCAATGTTGAGATCTATCCTGAATGGTCACTATGTAAAAAAAAACGAAGAAGAGAAAAAAAAAACACACAAAAAAGAATTAAGATATATACTGAGAATTTATTTATCGGAACTGAAATTTAAATCTAAAAAAAAATCAACAAATTGAAGAGAGAATACTACAAAAAAGAAACGAGAAAAAATAATAATTATAATTATAAATAATAATATTAAAATGAAATTGCAACCATTATCTGGTTTTGATAAACTGTGGTCACGGCGTGTCTAGTAATTTAAAAGAAAAACAAAAAATAAAGAGACTAAATAATAAATGAAAAAAAAAAATTGAACTGACAACTGTTTTGAATCATCCATGCTGTACAATATGTTTAATGGAACATTTGAGCCGGGGTCTTTCTCTGTCTCTTTGTTTTTTACTCTGTTTTTTTCTTCCTTCCTTCTTTTCTCTCTCTCTCTCTCTCTATCTCTTGCTATTTAGTATCATAGGTACGAGACGGAATTCGATGAATTCCATTAACATTGGTCGCGACAACGAAAGGGAAATGGCGACAACGGCGTCATGGTTGTCGTTGTTGCCACCCACAAAGGTGAGTGAGTGTCGCCTTGCATCATACGATTTTGTGATTCGGTATTTCGAGTGTTTTTATTTTGGCGAACAAGAGAGTCACAAAGCGAGCGAGAGCGAGAGAGACTTGTTTCAATATTCATTTAGCAGGTCGTTTTACAAATTCCATCAAATATCTTTCACTTCTGCAATTTCGCATTCACTGACGAAAATCCGTCACACACCGTATAACGACGACGACGACGACGATGACCGACCTGAAATATGAAAAATGTGTGTCATTCTCACATTTGGCTATTAATTATCGTTGTCGTATTGCTGCTTCGTTTATTTTTTTTTTTTCTGTTCCTTTGTCGTTGTCGGCTTCTTATTATTTTGATCGGTGGTGTGTCGCGCGCGTACCAGCATGCATGTTTTTTGCTGCCCGTCTCTATTTATACATCACATGAAATACTAATTGTGTCTAAGTAAGAATACTGGCGCGTGATTGCGCTTGGCTTGTGTGTCGTTCGGTTTTTAAATTTAGAGCACCCAAATAGCCGCATTTCGTGCTCAAAAGTGAAATAAGCGAGCGTGCGCGCGCCCATACGTTTGAGAGAGTGGAAGGCACAAAAGGCGAAAGCGAAGCAAACAAAAAAAAAAACAATCAACAACAACACAAGCGAAAAAATTGAACAGTAACTTTGAATTATGCAAAAGAAGAAAAGAAAAAAAAATCGGAAAAAAGCACACAATCGCAAAGACAAACGGCGACATATTTACATGTGTCATCGATAGATACATACGTATACATGCATATGAAAATTTATTGTGTGTATGTGATATTGCATACGGTGTTATGCGGCGCATACTCGCAGTAACATACAGAGAGGAAAACGAACACAAACTCGTTGGACACACGAACGAACAAACGAACTACGTTAATTGGGGTGATGTGTCTAGGTTCTTTTATTTATTTATTCGGTGTGCGCTTCCTGCATTCAATACACACCAACGGAAAAAGTAGGTCAACATCAAACAACTACACTGGTCTCATTTACTAGCGCGAAATTTATATGCTTCAACATTTTTGCGTGTTATTGTTGGTGCATGCATTATTTTTTTCTTCTTCTCTGTCGTCGTCGTCGTCGTCGTTGTCGAGAATGTGTGTCTGTTTCTCCTTTCCTTTGCCTCGTTTCACACACTGTTGTTGTTGCTGCTGTTTCTCTCTCTCTCTCTCTCTCTCTCTCTCTCTCTCTCTCTCTCTCTCTCTCTCTCTCTCTCTCTCTCTCCATTTTGCTTGCAACTCTTTCCCAGTCGCTTGTGTTGGTATTCTCTATTTCGCATCTATTGCAGCATTTAATTTTGTGTGCCATGTTCATTCATTCCGACATTGCATACCGTGCACAATATCACTTGCATTATCCAACTGGTTTAAAATGGTTTCATTCATTACATCTTTGCCCCACAATCGCGCGCGCACAACCAAACGAACGAACGACCGTACACATCGGGACAGCGACACAGCCAGCAACATTAGGCATTTACCCATTTTATGTATCGCCTTTTCTCTCTATCTCGTTCTGTATTCATATCTTTCTATCGTTAGTGAATTACTACTGGTGCTGCTGGCATTGCTGCCGACGCCGCCATCGTCGCCGTTGCTATTGTTGCAGTTGCTGCAGTTATATTTGATACATTCATATGCAACGAGAGAGTGTCTCGTACAGTCCAACGCGCCATAGATGCCGTTGTTTTTTTTATTCATTACGTAACAAATTTATTTCATGGAAAGTATACCAAGTGCAATAACGTAGTTAGAATATGTATGTCTAGATCTCTCTTGTTGTACACACTCATTTGCCATACAGACATGAACGGGGCCGCTAATAGGCCTGTGACACACTTTTCTCACTATTGTATAATCGGCACGGATTTATGACTTAAATGGCATCATCATTTGTCGGTTTTCTCTCTTTGCACAAAATCCACAAGAAAATCGAGAGAAAAAAAAGAAGAAAATTACAAAATATCATATACCCACAACGTATACAAATTCGCTGTCGAGCAAACAAAAGTGAACTTAATGACGTTGCCTAATTAAATATTTTGTTTTATTCGATGAATTTCCAAATGCGATACATTGTTGCCGGCTGTTTTTGTATGTTTTTCCACTCGTCTTGTCTCCATTTGCGTCAATGAATTCTAATGACAAGTGTTCAACTGACGAACACATGTATTTGAGACATACACCAATATGATAAACATTTCACGAGAAATTTCTATATGGATCATGTACCAAACATGTGCCAAAAATGAAATGTGGATGCAAAAAGAAAGAACGTTCAATCGTTAAATGACGCCATCGGATCGTTTGAGTTTATTACTGGAGAAAAAATCATTAGGACCAAACCAAGGCTTTGAATCAAACCGAGTCATTGATATATTTATCGTTGTCGCATTCAAATTTTATGGAATTCATTCGAGCAAGCGGCGAGCATATTGCGGTTGATTTTCCATGAAATCAGCGAAAAACCAATCAAATCCAGTCGAAACGAATCTCAAGCTGAAATCATTAACGAAAACGATTCAAATTGGCCAGTCACCGGTTTGGCTCTGGAAATGTTAAACGATTTCGAACCAGATTCGACTAAAACATCTGCTCATACCGACATTGATAAAACCACAAAAAGTGCTCACAACCAACGACTCATACGAATACGATGACGTCAGAAGTGCGCGCGAAAATGAAAGTGAGCAAAAGAGTGACGAAAACGTGTTGCATGAGAATCACATAAGAAAGAGAATCGTCGGATTCATTTTGAGGTTGTGAACTGAGCTTTAAATTTATTAATTTTTTTTTTCGCGAAATAAACATGAAAATGACGATGATTTTTTTTTTTGAAGAAAAAAATTGTTGTTTGTGAAGTTGAAAATTTTTGTTATCAATCTGCATTAAGTTATTACCTCCTTGTATGCATTTGAAAAGAGAATAAAATCGATTCGAATGATTTTTATTTTGAAACAAAAAAAGCACAACGCCATCTGTGTGTCAAATGGGAAAGGTGGTGCGCGCCATTCGGGCTCCACATCTATTTTCCCAAAATCGATGAAATGAAATTGAGATCGAAAACCTTCAACATTTCCATGGAAAATGATTTGTATGCGATAAGAAAATGTGTGATTCGATTACAGAGTTCGGTACAGAAAACAATCCCGTAGGTTTTCATTGATGATTTGCATCCAATTTACCAATTGGATCAGTCAATACAAACGGATTTTGTTTCAGTCTCACTTCATTTCCACATTTATATGTCAAAGTCGACGTAGACGTCGACGACTACGAGAGAGTGTAGGCAAACATCGGTCTTCAGTGAATGCCAATTTTGACAGCTCTCAGGTAATTGCACAACACATTTTTTTTTGTCATTCAACATACATACACACGCTCTGAGTGTGAGAGAGATTGCGTTTGTTTTTCACCGAAAAAGTTTTGAACGATACCATCAACTACAACACCGTGGTGCAAGGCAGAGAATATATCATCAAGCCAAAGGATTTAGTTTTTTTTTTCTGTTCGATTCGATAACAAGTGAACGAAAAAAAATTAAAACGTGAAACGGTATAGAAAATTTCATTTTTTAATCATATATAGAATATCGTGAATCATATATCAGAATCGAAAAAAAAAATTTGTGCTCAAGAGAAAGTCACACGCAGTTTTATATATCGAGTAGACAAGTAGTAATGAAAGGAGAGAAGAGAAGAGAAGAAAAGGAAAAAAAAATTGAATTCGAGAAACTAGATATTTGTTATGTAATAAGCAAAAGTGGATAAAATCGGACTGAAGAATATTTGGTCTGCGAGGAAAAATGGATTGGAATGCAATTGCAATTAAATCGGGAGTGTTTGAAATTGGAAATTTTGTTTCCATCGAAATTTACAATCCATAAATATGCATTTGTGACACAATCACATACGTCGAGAGAGAAAGATAGACACAAATCCGGAGAGTGTGAAAGAGAGCGAATGAACGACCGAGCAAGAGAACTCGGTCAGTTTTTTTTTCTTCTTCTTTGCATGCATGTGAGAATATTTGTGCGAAATCGATGTTCGTTTGTTCGCGAGAATGATGATGATTGACTCAGCTTTCGAACAATGTTCTTTGCACTAGTGTGTGAGTGAATGTTTTGTATTGCTGATTTTTTTTTTGGCATTCGTTTATTTATACACATGCAAGAGGTAGCTATTGTTTGTGACGACATCAAAATTGAATGGCAAATACACCAACCAACCGAAAAAAAAAACTATCAGACTTTTTCTAACTCATCATAGCAAATAAAAAGAAACTAAATTATGTGTATGGCTCGGTTCGTTCGCTCTATTTCATTCCCATTGGAATGAATTTTCTCTTCTCTACGCCCGCCTCCCCAGTCCAACCATACACTATGAACGGAAATCAATCTTGTGGGTTTTTTCGGTTGTTGTTTTCTCGCAGTCAAACACTGCGAAATTATTTACATTAGCAACTTGATCGTTGGTATTCCCTGAAAAAGAGAGCACAAGCAATCATCACTATTTTGTTTATTTTTGCCGCGGTCAGATAAGAGCAAAATCGTCAGCAGAACGAACGACAAAAAAAAATTATAATAAATGAAATCACTTTTGACTAAATGACTCTTGTCTCCTTGTCTGTTTTTTGTTATTGTTGTTGCGGTTTCATTCGTTGCTTCATCTTTTTGTTTCTTCGATTGTGTTCTGAATTCAAACCAGATTGCTTCATTGTTTTCGTTGAACGATAAGCCTTTTATTTACTGTGACTCAATGGTTCTGTCCCCCTTTTTCGCTCTTATCTCATCCCATTCAAATTGGGGAGTTTTCAGTTAAAAAAAAAATGTTCACCGTATTCCATGAGGTCTATTGTCATGCCCGCTCTCCCTTTCTCTTTTTTTGTCTCTCCCTGTCCTTCTCTCTTTCTTCCAATGCGATTTATCGCTATGCAATTTACCGTTTTTTCCCTTCTACTTTTATGATTCAATGACGTGCGACGTAACCTATCACTGTCATCCGAACAATACATTCTAATCTATTCGGTGCCAATGTTTTGGTTGTTATTTTGTCTACATGTCAGTGACACGGCAAATTGATTAATGTTATATATGTGCAATTCGTAACAATAATACACAGTACCAAAGTTTATCAATGATAGACGCATAAAGAAAAGTTCAATTCGAACCATTAACAAATAGACACCGCACAATGATAACACATTTGGTGGTGTCCCGATTCAGGTGGTTAAAAATTCAGATAAGCATAATCGAGCATGTGCTTAAGCGTCATCGAGTGCACATGTATCCATGTTGGAACGATACGTGTGCGTATGTGTGCATGTGTGAGTGAGCCAATGCGATGGGTATGCATTGAAAATGGCTCTACTTAAGAAGCATATTTGATGTTCGCACAAGATAAAAAGTTGAAGAAAACAATTCAATAATCATTTGACCCGGTTGATATAGAGTTAGATGCCATTGTCGTATGACTGAGACAGAGTGAGAGGTGAGAGATAGAGCAAAGTGAGCAAAGGCTTGATCGCGAGTTATATAAGTGCCGAAAAATGTATGCAATGTTCGTATCGAATATACACCGTTTCCACACATATACACATGGATATGCATGTATGACAGTAGCTAATTGTCATGTGGCACGCTGTTGGTGTGGCTATCGCGCGCTCACATTGCCCATTTAGTTATACTGAAATTTATCCGGAATCAACAACGTGCATTCTTTCAAAGAAAAAGGAACAAAAAAAAACACCGTTTCTCCCATAAAATAATTTATATTCTATTCTTCGTTGTCCGTCGTCGTCGTCTTTTTTCATGTTTTGATTTATTAAATTCGATCTTAAAACTAATATAAACGCTAGCGGGTAAATAAGACCTCATTTCCACAATTATTCATTCGATTATTCATTTTCGATACGATACGACGTACTCCAGAATGGAAAAAGAACTTATTTATTTTTCATCAACTCAAACGAAATGATTGAATTATCAGAAAAAAAAAAACATGTTTTTGTGAATCTCCTTTGAATTGTTTGTTTGTGTGTGTGTGTGTGTGTGTGTGAATTGTGATGAAATTGCTGGTTGATTTTACGCAAAGCATGATTCACACATTTTCAAAGTTTTATGAATTAAAAGCAACTGGTCATATGATTAGTGGAATATCGTGTGAATGCGCGCGTAGTTTGTGTGTGCCACCAAAATAATGTGTCTCTGTGTGTGACGTTATGTGTGCGTGCATGTGATTTGGTGTGTACTTTGATCTCTGATACGTCATCGTTTGCAATCTGAATCCGAACCGGTCTTCACTGGACTGTCTGCACATCCGAATCAAAGCCAATTGCCGGATTATTTTCATTGTGTGTGTGTGTGTGTGTGTGTGTGCAATCTGAATTTATTTTTTTGTTTATTTGCGGCGAAAATGTTTCCGACCAGCAAGCGAACATTAATTGAATGAAATGGGCTTGTTTACGTGCGACTCGAGTGCAAAACAACAATCGACAACAATAAGAAGAAAAGTTATTTTTGACGAAATTTTATTTGTTTCTCTTTTTCTCTTTCTCTCTCTCTCTCTCTCTCTCTCTCTCTCTCTCTCTCTCTCTCTCTCGCTCTCTCTCTCTCTTGTGTTTGGGGCTTCAGTTTTTTTTCCTCCAAATAAACTCATAGATAACGATGCATCGCGCCCATACAGCTTATTCGGTGTGTTTATCACCAGCCAGACAACCAAAACTATCGCAATGGCTGGCCCAAAAGACGTCAGACAAGACCAAGGTATGTTGATTAAGTTGGAAAAAAATGAAGAATAGCCTGGTTAATTTTTCTTCAAGAATTTTCGATTAATTTTTTGTCTTTTCTTTTTTTGGGGGTGTACACATCAGTTCATGAAGGACTTCTTTGCCGTATCATCGGTAAGAAGTTATTCAGTAGCCGCTGACAAGCCATCGTTAGATGGCAACAGCTCCAGCTACGTAGAAGAAATGTACAACTCATGGTTACGAGATCCAGCTTCAGTGCATACGGTAAGTGAATTCCACGGCCGGAGTAGTTTCCAAATGTGTCAAACGCTACAATCATTTTCGGCTTTGTTTTCTTACAGTCATGGGATGCATATTTCCGAAGCAATACTTACTGTGCACCACCATCGCTAGCACCCGTACAAAGGAATCAGATGCCATTATCACAATTCGCACCATTCATTGGTGGCGGTGCATTGGCCGGTGCTGAACCCGACGAAAAAATCATTGACGATCATTTAGCTGTGCAAGCAATCATTAGAAGCTATCAGGTAAAAACGAACAACCGACGCATTAAATTCATCAAAACGATCAAATCGATTCCCAAAACGTCAATTCTGATTTTTCCCATTGAATTTACTCGTTTATGGCGATCAAAAATCAAAATACATTCCGTATATGCTAAATACAGATTTCAGATGACAAAGGTCCAACACGTTTCCGTTTCTAGATTATTCCGATCGTTCATTTTTTGTTTTCGTTTCGTTTTTTTTTAGCAGACTTTTTTCTTTCTCTTCGTAAAATTTTCGATTTTGTGCATTGTGTTGTTCACATTTAACTCACACGATGATAACAACAAAAAATATCTTCATGGAATTGCATCGGCAACAATCAGCCAATATTAGAAAACAGATTATGACGTTACTTCGATTTAGATTCGACGCAACAAAAAAAAATTATCAAATCATCACAGCTAGATGTCTAGCTAAAATACACACACAAATTGTGGCTTAAATCGCTCAAATTTTCGCCAAAATTCGTATCTCGATTTGCTTGCTTATAGTCATTCCATTCTAAATAACAGATGAAGCATCCGTCGATGCAAACATATAATTTACACGGTGTTATGTAAGCCAAACTAAGAACAGAAAATGTATTCGTTTCGCTTTGGTAAATGTGTGCTCTTCGAACGAAAAAAAAAATTCATTGAACCAAAATCCATATATGCATAATGAACAGTTATTGTAATTCACGTTGTCACATGTTAGACAACACAGAGAAAAGAGCGCGGGTGACCTTCATTGTAGTAAAAAAAATAATAATTACATGATCAGTATAATTACGTGATTACACAATTCTGTCGAAAAAAAAAACTATCCATATATTTCAATTTTTGTCTCGACATTTTTTTCTATTTTGCTTATATGTGTATTCTCTTGTCCTTGACGATGTAAGTAGATGATAGATAAATTATCATAATTGTGATGCGATTGTTGACGTCAAAAGAAAAAAGCATTTGCTTAGTTGAAGTAGGTTCCGATATGAGAACAGAAAAAAAAAACTTGTGAATTTGTTTATTGTTGGGTGTTGAACTTGAGACATCGGTCTATTTATTTATTTTTCCATGCACGTGATGCTGCTAGTAGCAGCCTACTATTCATGCCACCGTTTTCATTCATTATATCGGTTGGTAAATTACAAACTTTGCAGCGTGATTTTTTCTTCTTTTGATTCTGTAAGAGAAAAACCTTTTTTAAAGATTTTTTTCGCACAGAAAAAGAAACACGGAAGGATAAGAGCAAAATGAGAATCATAAAAATTTCAGGGATAATTCATAATTCATTTTTCGTTCGTAGTTTCTTGAAATCAGTGCATGATATTTAGATATGGAATACGGACCATTAATCAAAGATTTACGAGATAGAGTCGTGGATGATGTTAGCACATGTCAACACCAAGCAATCACATTTTCCAACGTAATTTTGTCTATGGATTTGTGGCTGGTTCATGTCATTTAGATTCTCTCTCTCTCTCTCCCTCTCTCTCTCTGTTTTCACTTTCAAATATTGTATTGGTTTGCAAGCACAAAGTCTTTTATTCGCACGTTTCGCCATAAAAATGAACATTTTTTGGGAATTTTCGTTCACTATTCTTCCTCTATTTTTATCCGATCTATCAATTATTCTAACCTGAATGCCTGAAAACAAACATCGATTAATTTAACTTAATTCCTTATGAAATGGCCAAAAATTGTGTGTGTTGCACAACACCTTTATTTACATGCATCAACATATAAACAAAATCAACAACAACAAATTAATACCTCGATTAAATTAAATCTAAATCATATTGCAAACAATTGTCGCAAACATTTAGTCACGTGGTCATTTGGTTGCTGACGTGGATCCGTTAGGCATTACAACCAGTGCTCCCAAAGAAATCGGCGGCACTAAGAGACGAGCCAATGAAAATGTTACACGAAAATATTTTAATTTTGGTAAAGAAACAAAAATTCATCAAATCCTACTTTTTTTTATATACACAACCATCCACCCACCCACACATACATACATCATAGTTATTTATTTATTCGTTTTTTATTATAATTTTGTTAAGTATAATTTTGATTTTTGTTGGTAAATTTAAATCTATTTTCATGTTTTAAAATCCATGTGCACATCACAAGGGCATAAAATGGCCATCCAGCCAAACAATTTGCTTGGCTGGATTCGGTACACTACTAATTATTTATACAGTCGCACTGTTCATTCATTTTTTTCTATTTTTTTTTTAAATTATTTTGTTTATTATTCTATTATTTGCCTTGAAGTCCTTAGATATGATAAATATTGCATTGAAATTCGGAGAGCATTCATTGTTGTTTGTTAGATAGAACGAATTCGGTTCGGTACATTGTCATGATTTAACCAGCGTGAGCACATTTCGCACACAACAAAAACATTCGCCAATCTAACACTTTACGCTTTATTATGGTCTATATTGTAAATATTTGCTATATTTATGCATCCATCACTAGCTTTGAGTCGGATTTAATTGCGATCATATTTGCCAAAAGAAAGAAAATTCTTCGAAAAAGCGGCTTTGTTCTAAAAAAAAAGAAACACTTTTTGTATGCATTTGCAACTCAATTCTGCATAATCAAATCTGCACCTGAACCTGCACCTCAATGGAATTTCCGTTGAATTCCACCATAAATAAAAACCATGGAATCGATGAATGGAACCAATATTAGCCACCTTGCATGAAAAACAATCGTTTTTATTCAATGAGAAACTTATCGATTGGCATTTAAGAAAAACGGAGGCAAAAATAAATACATTATCTCGCATCGTTCCTTTATCAGCATGCACGGAAACTCTTGAGACTCTGATTTATATACATTGTTTGAACTCGTTTTTTGTTTCTCACGCAAACGCACTCAATCGTTTGCACTCAATCGTTCGCACTCAAAATGTAGCACAAAATTGTAGCAATTTATTTCATTTGATTGATTCATATTAATTTCTTATCTTATTCCGTCCGATGTCTGCGGTGTACGTGTTATGCGTCGAAAATCGAAAAAGGTCATTGAAAATGTCGATAAACGTCTACGGTTCCAATCGTTGAGAATTATGAACTTTATTGCATCATTATTTCCTTCTTTTAGAATATGATGAACATTGAACTCGAGTAAGACAGATTCGATAAACGTGCAATGTTCTTTGTTTTAGCGAGAAAGAAATAAAATTATGTTGAAATCGTGTCCCGCCTGCAGAAAAAAAAACAATTTTTTTTTTGACAAAAAAAACAACCAATTGAATTTCTTTGTTGATTAAATATTTCTGTTGTTCTTTTTTTTCTCTTCTTTCCTTTGTGTACATCCATCTTTCAAATTGGTAATTGGGCTCCCCTGCGAATAATAAAAAAAATATCTCGGTGTTCGATATCAAACGCAAAACAATATCCGAATTAAATGATGCGCATGTAATTGCGAATGCGCTTCCAACTCTTGTCACACACACACACACACACACACTCATTTTTCGTGTGCGTCTGTCTGTCTGTAATGTCGAATGAATAAAAACCAAACACAGATTCGGGGTCATCACATAGCCGACCTTGATCCACTCGGTATTAATTCGACTGTGTTAGAAGAACCAATAAAATTTATTCATGCAAATTATAATTTCGGTAAGTAAGAACAAATGAAACGAAAATCCACAACCAAAAACAAATTGTATCGAAATTGGGTGTAAAATCATAGAACTTTTTTTATCCTAGCATTTTTTTTTCTAAGAAATATATTTCAATTTTTTTTTGTGTTGCGTTGCGTTAGTAAAGAAAGACAGGAGCAATTTTTTTTTCGAACAGTATTTGGGTTTTTAGACGTTGAAGAACAAGTTTTTTTTTTTGAATTTTTGACAAAAGTTAGCAGTTAATGCAGGTAATACGATTTCGGAATCAAGCTTTGTGTATAACAATTTTAAAGCGAGCCCACTTTTCCAAGCTGCTAAATGTTGCATTGCCCCGATATCGACGACCCCTCTCCGATGCTTCCGTTTTTTTTTTTAAGTTTTGTTCCATGTGTTCGCGATTTTGTTCCCTATTCTATTTTCATTTAATTCCAACGATAAATGTTGACTTTTTTTTTCTCAAACATTTCTTTATGTTGATGATGACTGTATTTCGTTAGTCGCACGTTTTGATTGCACACATCGTTGCATTGTTCTTATTCTGAATGAACGAAAACCCAACAACACACACTCAATTGCTTAGAAACGCCTTATTGTTTCGTTGTGCAAGTATCAATAGTTTATATCGATGAGCTATGTTCGAAATGCACAAACAACGTTTTCGTTCGTTTTTCCGTTATTGTTTCCAAAATATGGCAATTTTTGAAAATATCTCTTCGGTTTTCGATCAACATCACTTTTATTCTTTGCCCTTTTATTCCAAAAAGAATTAATTTCAATAATTTTTCTTTTCAAATATATGGTGATCGGTTTATTATTATATAACACACGATATTCTCCACATATTTTTTATTTCATTTTAATCGATCTAAATTTTGTCCATAAAATTCATAAAAATTAAAATAGCAACAAATCAATTGATGAAAATTGACTAAAATCACTAAAAAATAATTCTAAAAAACATGAAACCAACTTGACTTTTGTGGACATGTAGTGAATAATCAACTTTTTGGTTTGCTTTTTAATAAAATCCAATTGCATTCAAGTAGTCAAAAAAGAACGTTTCCATTTGAACAATAAATGTAGTAGTCAATGTATATAATCTGAAAGAAAACCGCTTGATTAACTCAAAACATGAGATTGCAATTAACAAGAAAAAGTGAAAGACCAATTAAGATATATTTCGAAATTTCAACAATATTTCGACAGAAGAAAAAACAAAACTCCGAATTTCAAAGAAAAAAAAATTAGCTTCTTTTTATGTTTTTGTAAATGTAGAGTAGATTAGATAAAAAAATTACATCCAATATATTTTTTTTTAAATTTCCAGCTGAGTTTCAAAAATCAATTAAAATTTTAAAGCAATTTAAAAAAAAATTGATTTTTTTGTATGTTAAATTCATTTTTTCGATTTGGTAGAAGCTTTAATTCCAGCAAAAAAATCCTTGTTTAATTAATTGATTTTTGAAACGCAAACAAATCGTTGGTCTTTGGTGCATCAATGTAATCGTATAATTTATTTCAAAAAAATGCAGACGAGAAAGATATGGATCGTGTATTCAAACTGCCAAGTACAACCTTCATTGGAGGACAAGACAAAGCATTGCCACTACGGTAATTTGGCTCATCAATGCCATCCATGCCATGGATGATCCATCACATAGCGAAACTAATTCGAAATTCGGTTTAATTTTTTTGCAGTGAAATTTTGGATCGTTTGGAAAAAGTGTATTGTAATAAAATAGGTGTTGAGTTTATGTTTATCAATTCGTTGGAACAATGTAACTGGATCCGTAAGAAATTCGAAACACCTGGCGTACTGAACTATACGCCAGAGGAGAAGCGTTTGATATTGGCCCGTTTGACACGTGCCACCGGTTTTGAAGCATTTTTGGCCAAGAAATTCCAGTCGGAGAAGCGTTTCGGTCTTGAGGGTGGTGAAATGATGATTCCAGCCATGAAGCAAATCATTGATGTGTCCACCAAGCTTGGTGTTGAATCGGTTATCATGGGAATGCCACATCGTGGTCGTTTGAACACTTTGGTAAGTGGAAGACAATTTCAACCGAATATTGTTTAATTTGAATGGAAAGAAAAGAAAAAAAGAATCAAGAAGAAAATGTTATATTTCATTATTTTCTTCTCACCGTAGGCAAATGTGTGCCGTAAGCCATTGCACCACATTTTCACGCAATTCGCTGGTTTGGAAGCGGCCGATGACGGTTCCGGTGATGTTAAATATCACTTGGGAACATATATCGAACGTTTGAATCGTGTCACAAACAAAAATGTCCGCTTGGCCATTGTTGCAAATCCATCACATTTGGAAGCCTGTGATCCAGTTGTACAGGGTAAAACTCGTGCCGAGCAATTCTATCGTGGTGATGGTGAAGGCAAACGTGTTATGTCAATGTTGATCCACGGAGATGCTGCTTTCTGCGGCCAAGGTGTTGTCTTCGAAACGATGCACTTGTCCGAATTGCCCGACTACACCACACACGGAACCATTCATTTGGTTGTCAACAATCAAATTGGTTTCACCACTGATCCACGTTTCTCACGCTCGTCACCATACTGTACTGATGTTGCACGTGTTGTTAATGCACCTATTTTCCACGTTAATGCCGACGATCCCGAAGCCGTTATTCATGTGTGCAGCGTGGCTGCCGAATGGCGCGCCACGTTCCACAAAGATGTTGTTATTGATTTGGTCAGCTATCGACGCAACGGACACAATGAAATCGATGAGCCAATGTTCACGCAACCACTTATGTACCAGAAAATTCGTCAGCACAAAAATTGTAAGTCAAGTGATTGCCGCGGCCCATTTTGGAGTGTAATCGAACTAAACGGTTTCTTTTGTAATCATTAGGTTTGGAAATATACTCAGACAAGTTGATCAAAGAAGGTATCGTTACTCCAGAAGATGTTAAGAGTGTTCGTGATAAGTACGAAAAGATCTGCGACGAAGCCCTTGATTTGTCCAAAAAGGAAACTCATATTAAGGTATGCAGATCGATTGATTACAGCGTTGAACTCGTTTTATTGACGTTTTTGGTCAAATTTTAGTTCAAGGATTGGTTGGATTCACCATGGTCTGGTTTCTTCGAAGGAAAAGACCCATTGAAGGTAGCACCAACTGGTGTGAAAGAGGAGACATTGGTGCACATTGGCAACCGATTCTCGTCACCACCACCAAATGCAGCCGAATTCATCATTCATCGTGGTTTGTTGCGTATTTTGGCCGCTCGTAAGGAAATGGTTGACCACAAAATCGTTGACTGGGCATTGGGTGAAGCGATGGCCTTCGGTTCCCTACTCAAAGAAGGTAATTGTCAACAGATGTTTTTTTTTTCTGGATGAGATTCATTGCCAATGCTACTGTACTAAATCTTTCATTATTATCAAATGAAACACTGAAATATGCTTTTCCAATCTATGCAGGAATCCATGTGCGTTTGTCAGGTCAAGATGTTGAGCGTGGTACATTTTCACATCGTCATCATGTGCTTCATCATCAAAACGTTGACAAGGCCACTTATCGACCATTGTGCCATTTGTATCCAGATCAAGCACCATACAGTGTGAATAACAGTTCCTTGTCCGAATATGCTGTGCTCGGTTTTGAGCTCGGCTATTCGATGACCAATCCAAATGCACTTGTCATCTGGGAGGCTCAATTCGGTGATTTCAACAACACGGCACAGTGTATCATCGATCAGTTTGTGTCAAGTGGTCAAGCGAAATGGGTGCGTCAATCGGGCTTGGTAATGCTATTGCCACACGGTATGGAAGGTATGGGCCCCGAGCATTCATCGGCTCGATTGGAACGTTTCTTGCAAATGAGCTCAGACGATCCTGACTACTTCCCACCCGAATCCGACGAATTCGCCATTCGTCAATTGCATGACATCAATTGGATCATTGCCAATTGCTCAACACCGGCCAACTATTTCCACATTTTGCGACGACAAATCGCATTGCCGTTCCGCAAACCATTGATCTTAATGACACCAAAATCATTGTTGCGTCATCCGGAAGCAAAGAGCGAATTCAGTAAAATGATTGAAGGTACAGAATTCTTGCGCGTCATTCCCGAAGAAGGTGTCAGCTCAGAAGCTCCCGGCAAAGTCAAAAAATTGATCTTCTGCTCCGGTCGTGTCTACTACGATTTAACCAAAGCACGTAAGGATCGTGGCCTTGACTCAGATGTTGCTATCGCCAGAATCGAACAGGTAATTCCTTTTTTTTGGTGGTTTCGTTATTTGAATTAGTATTTAAAAAATGTATTTTTAAAAAAATTGATTGATTTATAGTATTTATAATCAAAAAACTCTTTGCATTAAAAAAATAAATGTTTATTTAATGAAATTGTCAAATGTTAAAAATGCACTAATATTTTAAAGTTACTAAATTAGTTTTTTTCAATTCAATCTGAACGAAAATTAATTATCAACATTTTTTTGTCCAGATTTCACCGTTCCCATACGATTTGGTCAAGGAAGAGTGTGCCAAATATCCAAATGCCGAGGTTGTATGGGCTCAAGAAGAGCACAAAAATCAAGGTGCCTGGAATTATATTTCACCAAGATTCCTCACCGCCTTGAATCATACTCGTGATATTAAGTAAGTGTCGGAATATTTTATTTCAATTTTTTTTTTGTTATAATTTTCGCTTAATTCAGAGTCTAAATTTTGGACTTCAAAACCAATTTGCTTAATTCAATTGAAAATTGTCTTACTTTTTCAATTTTTCTTTTCATTTTTTTTTAAATCTTTAAATTCTTTGAAATCTACAAAAATGTCAATTTCACAAAAAAAAAATTCTATTCAAATCAATTTCAGTTACGTTGGTCGATCAACGGCTGCATCAACTGCGACCGGTTCAAAGGCTCAACACAACAAGGAATTGGCCGGATTATTGGACGCCGCTTACACCCTCTAAATCTAAAATCGCAAGTGATTTGGGCTAAGAAATACAACAACAAAAACAAATGAAAAACAAACAGAAATCAGGAAATCTTTAACTTATAGACCGAAGCTATTTAGACGAATGAGAATAAAACAAATTGCACGCGCTCTCACAAAATGAAATCAAAAGAACAACAAAAGCTAAAAAAAAAACTTAGTAAAAAAAAGGTTGCAACTGTTGCAAATTAGTATTGCCAATTTCGCCTAGTTTTTGAAATATTCTTAATAGAAGAATTTATCATAAAGAAACAAAAGAAAAACCTAACTTATATTATTTCGATACAATATGCATAAACACACACTCAACAACAAACAAAATCATCCTCTTCTCTTTGAAAAAAAAAAGAAAACAAAATTTGAATAAGTTAAACAAACAAAAATATTTTTCTGCAAACCCGTAGCTTTTTTGCACCAATTTCTTATTAGATAAATGTGACCTCGTTCGAAATACACATACATTGAAAGAAAGAAACAAAGAAAAAAAATCGAAAAAAATGATTCAAGAAGAAACAAAGAAGAGAGAGCTTATAACTAAAATAAAGGAAAATTGTTGGCAATTTTTTTTTCTTTAGTAATATTCTGTTTATTTTTTCTTTCTTTTTTAAATAGTGTTAAAAGGATCATTAAATTATTGTGTATATAAATAAATATAATAAATCAAATTCACTAATGTTGAAGTGTTCGTTTTTTTAAATTCTTTTTAATTTCGTTTATTTTTTGTCATGGATGAAATTACAGTTATATTCGTTGAACGAATTTCGTTGTCATCGATTCAACGGGCTATTTAAAATTAATTGCACTGTAATGCCATAAATGGATAGAAAAGGATCTATTTTTGACTCAAAAAATAAACGAAGCGACGATTGCATGACAAACAATTTGTTTAATAATTTATGGTAAATTCGTCAAAGCGATTATCATTATTACATTCGTTGATTGAATCCAAAAAATAAAATTAGATAAAAAAAATTGTTCGATGAACACGACAGTTATTATATGGCATGACATATTCAATTGTGTTTTCTTTGCATATCCAATGGTTCATTTTCGAAATACCTCTACAAAAGAGTAACTTTATCTATCCCATTAAAATCACCGTGTATGGGAATTTTAGCTCAATATTGACCGAAATGTCATACGTACTTCATGGTGCTCACACCAGAATGGACGACCGTTAATTGAGTCGGTGATGAAGTGTGCTTTTACGGTATTTCTCATGAACTATTCACACATATGAAGCAATGTAATCGAAAGCAAATAATTTAATATCAATTTGACGAAATATCAATCGAAAAAATTTCATTCCACACCAAAATCAAGTCCATATTCTGATTCAATATCACTGTCTCCGATGCGAATCCATCAAGTGGCTGCCGCAGCTTAAGTACTTCATATACTTAATCCAACCGAATTGGAGTGTCACAAACACACACCGACTACTCTGCAGAGAGCGAGAGAGAGAGAGAGAGGTATTTGGTTTCTTTGGACGAATCGCTGTTACGGCTACCACGGCAAAGTCTGTTATGAATGTTTCGTTTACGTTTCAGTGTCTCTTTTCGTGTGCGCTTGTAACAACGTACTAATCACACACGCCGCGCGCCTTCGAATATATTTATGTTGTGTTTTTTTTATTTCTTACTTTTCTTCTTTATTATTTCTTTTAAATTTCTTCACGTCTCTTCGGTTGGTCCCTGTGTACTCATTTTCAATCAGTTATTTCAGTGAAGTTCAGCAAAACAAAAACTAAATATTGAAAAATAAAACAGAAAAACCAGAATTAAAGGAGAAGAAAAAAAAACAAAATAAAGCAGCAGTTTGAACGGCAATTAAGTGAGTGTGGCAAACAAAACAAAACACAGAGAAAAAAAAGAGAACCGAAACACATATCGAAATTATTTTTAATCAAGACAAATTGGTGCGAAAATCCGTTCGCCAAAGAGAGTTCACCGAGTCTAGTACGCATATATATATATATATATATATATATATACATATTCCTCATTCGTACGGCTTTATTTAATGTAATCTGTGTTGTTTTATGTTTTTTTTTCCTTCGATGACTCGATGATCGTTTTGCATTTGAGCAGTTTTTTTTCCTCTCTTGTGTAAACCAAGTGTAAATAAGTGTTGTGTGTATCGTCAATTAATAATAGATTGTTGTACGATAGATTTGAATTCAGTGAAATTTGAATGTGACTTTTGGTTGATTTAGTTCTGTGTACTCTGTTCTGATTCTACACTGCTTCGTACGGTTGATTTTTTTTCGCCTTGTCTCGTTGTTCGCGGAAATTCATACAATTTGCTACAATCATTTGGCGTTTGTATTGGTAAATATTGAAAGTTATTTCTATTTTTTTTCTCTCTTTTTTTGGTGTGTTTTGTTGAGCAGCAGCAGCAGTTTAGCACTTTGCGAAATTCACTTTATTTGATTGCCATCTTTTTAATTAGTCAATGTGTTGTTATTGTTCATATGGTATTAATATTTTTGTTTTCTGTAACTCGTTCGTTCGTATATGGCTTTGAACCAAATTTGAGCTCGTGCATAGCGCTCCGGTTCTTCGAAAATATTAAGTAAATATCCACATACACTCTCTCTCTCTCACACACTCGTTCGAGATTGTAATAAATGTGCCATTTTACAATGCAGTTAGCAGTTGATTTGAATAAAAATTCCATGAAATCTTGATATTTATCGCCGTCCATACGCCGTTTTCAATTTCGAAGACAGAATGAACATGTTTGTTTGTGTTGTGCATGGCTAATTTCACATTTGCCAAGAATCAAAATGATTTTTTTGTGTTGGTTCGTCGCGCTTTTTTTTATGAGCCTGGTTTCCGTGATCAGTTGCCTCCCAAAAAGAAAATGTGTGTGTTTTTTGTGCCGAATGCAAATCATACATTATAGAGGCAAACAATGAAATGTGTTGAGAATGCCTGTGCATAGATATGACTACAAGTCGGTTGGTCATAGAGGAAAAATGAATAAAAATTATTTTAAACACAAAATATGAATTTGAAGGAGAGAAAAAGCGAAAGAGAACAAAAAAAAACACACCAACCAACCAACCGAACAAACCACCGACATTTAATCGGGCGGCTTAAGGAACACACAACAATCTCTTCAACACATACGTCGATGTGTCCATGGCGCGCAGCACCGTGCGCGCTTCGCGCAATGAAAAAAATGTTAAATACATCGGAATTTAAGAGATATCCAACAAAGCAACAATGGCTTTATAAAGCAATAGTGGTCATGATCTATGCGCGCTTGATTGCTGCATTCAATTATGTGTACGAGTTTTCAGCACAACACACGAAATATAGCCAGAGAGCTAGAGATAGAGAAAACACTACGACGTTTTCAGTCAGTGACGAACAGCGAACAGTAATAAACATAAAATAGCAACGGACGAATGAGGAGAAAAAAAACAACAACCAACGGCACACCAAAACCTATACGGATTGGAGTTTGAGTGAATGGCAGTGTTGAGAAAAATGCATTGAAATACCGTGAAATCTAGGCGAACGAGAGAGAGAGAGAGAGAGAGAGAGAGAGAGAGAGAGAGTGATCGAGCATCGGGGTTGGTGCATCATTGCACCGACACCAAATACCACCGAAACGAAATCATTCATTTTCATATCTCTGCTTTCATTTCCTCTTCTATTATGCTATGTAATCCGTGAACCAACTGATGAGAAGAATTTTTCTATTGAAGATTCCAAGATTCCAAAGTGCGCTCATTTTCTTCGCTTTTAATACATTTTTTTTTCCTATTCTTATTGACACATGGGTGGATTTTGATGCGCTTTATTCATGCGCTCCATTTGAATTGCATTTGCCCCGAACGATCTAGGATGAAAAATTAACGAACAACATACACACACGTACACAGGATAACAACAATAAATGGGGAAAAAAACGCGCTCATTCTGTTTCAAGATGTGTGTAAGAGAACGTCGAAAGGGAAAAAAAACGAACGAACGAATAATAAAGCGATGTGTGTACACCATGACGCAACGTCGGTTTCAGGAGGCGATAGAGAGAGAGAGAGAGAGACAGAAAAAAAACGAGTAGTATACACTATCTCCAATTCAAAATCCAATCCAATTCCTTGTCTACTTTGTCGATCCATACATGTTCAAGTTCATAATCGTAGTGTGTATATATAGACAGGCTTTTTGTTGTTGTTCTTTTTAATCATAAGAATGAAACTTTTTTCTGCTTCTTCTTCCAACGATTTCATCCACTTGTATGCATTACCATTATTAAAATAACATACGCTGCTCGCCAGACGTGTGTCTGTGCGTTTGTGTATTTGTACGCATCAATGCGGACGCAATGTTATGTGTGTTCTTATGCACCGTTCAAAGGAAACAAACGACAGAGAGGAACAGAGAGAGAAATAGAGAGAGATAGAGAGAGAAATGTAAAAGAGCACAAAACAGAACTAAATCGAATTGGGCGCGATTGAAAGAAGTACGGCAGGCTGAGTGTTCAAAAGCGCCAAATCTTCAAAATAATTGCCTTGCTGCCGCCACATTCAGCGGGTCATTACCGAAATTTCTCTGACAACAGTTAATGTTCAATGACTTATACAAACGATTAACCGACGACAGCACCAACAAAAACGGAACAACAAATGACGAACCAACCAAATATTTGACTCAAACAAACATCAACACTTGACTTAGTTTCATGTGTTCGCTTTTTTCGTTTCAAATGATCTCTCCAGTCTTTGAAAGTGCACACGGTGTGCATATGTGAGCGCACCACAAAGTGCATGTGGTTCGAATGTGTGCATGTGCATTTATATGGCCGAAGGTAGAAAGATAGCAGAGCCATAGAAAAGTGATCTTTCTCTTTTTTTTGTCGTCATCGTCTCAGTCGTCGTCGTCGTCGTCGTTGTTGTTGTTCAAAATTGGTTCGTTCGTTATGAGAGAGACACTCACAGCAAAAGGGAAGGCATTAGGATAGATATGTTTCACCGAGCATTTACTGTGTTGTACTCGCAAACGATCGATTGTTTTTGCCTCACAACTATTTCATATCTCGTATGTTTTGCTTGTTTGAATCATTTTCTACCATGTTCGGGCGCTCTGCATTCTCGTTCGCTCTCTCAATTTCTCCCTCTCTGTCTTCTTACTCACTTGGTCGCCATGTGTGGCTGTGCATTTGGGTTCGTTGTGTGTGCCACACTGCTCATATAACCTGATGCGCCTCTCACACACCATTTCACTATGCAACGGATAAAGAAACGCCAAGCAAATCGACAAAACAAAACACACACGACATCAAAAAGAAAACGGAGAGAAAAGAAGCGTGCGAGAGAGAAGAAAAAAGAGAATATTGTGAAAGAAAATACTCATTTGATTGTATGCATAATGCATAAGAGAGTTTTGCCTGTAGAAAGTGTGCATCATTTGAGTGTGTTTCTTGGTTTCACGTTCATATCCACCAACAGCTGCCCAAGTGTTGGTGGGCTGCTTAGGCATATGTGACAATTTTCTTCTTGCATTATGAACAAGATAAATAGAAGACAGAGAAAAAGCACGGAGAAAAAGAGGGAGAGAGAGAGAGAGAGAGAGAGAGAGAGAGAGAGAGAGAGAGAGGGAGAGAGAGAGGGAAGAAGAACTCTCGCGAGACCGACACACAAACACATGAATTCGTTCGGTTATTCTCTTTATCTCATCGGTGTTTTCGTTGTGTAGTTGGTGTTATATTACCGTTTTTTGCTGACCAAAATACGAGAAAAAAAACACGAGAAAGAACCAGAGAAGAAACAACAATCTCTGTATGTCAAATTCGCCTGCATTTTTATCATCATCGCCCGAGCGAAATGTGCCGATACCAGCAAAGCGCGCAATATTCCATTACTATACATTTACAACGAACATGTTTCCTTTTGACAGTGGTATTATTATTGCACGAGCTTTTTCTTTCTTTACATCCATCACTGTGCCTCTGCCTATGTTTTGCTTGCTCTCTCTTCCTCTCCAACATTCTGTCTTTGTCACACGAAAATTCCACTTGAACAGTTCGCCGTTGTTTTTTTAGCTGGCCGCAGATATATCTCATTTCGTATGATTCAGGGAATGAATATTTGCATGTGGCGTGTGATGACAAATCACAAATATATGCACTGCAATGTCATTTGCGTGGATCTCTTTTCTGTTTTTTTTCCCTTTACTCTTTGTTGAAGTCTTTCAAAGAAGAGACAAAATCAAAAGAATCACATACACATATTCCAGCACACCAATCGCCTGCATATCACGTCAATATTTTAACAAACAACCGATATAGACATGCTTTGAATTTATAAAAACATCAGTCACTCTGAGTTGTTTTTTTTTGCTGTTGTTGTTTAAATAGCTATAAAGCATTCATTGTTCAGTAATGCCACCGTTTAATGTTTGGATTAGCGTCAAAATGATCAATTGATTTCGTATTCTTTGGGTACTGCCAGTTCATTATTATTTATTTGTTTCACTTTCAAAGCGCTATTATCTTCCGTCGACCACATTCACGCTCACCGCCATCGCTACGGAGTCGAATTCATTCATAATTGTGTGTGACCGGTGAATCAAACGAAGAAAGATTGGAAAATATCGGCTTGCACGAATTTTAAAACTGAAATGATAAATTCCAAACTGTCATCGATGAATGAACCGATCAAAGCAATTATTTTCTCACATATCTTTGCGGTAAATGATCGCAACCCAGTGAAATTGTATCGCTTTGAAAGTCATAGGCCTTTTGCTGTTTGCTTTTCGCTGACTTTGCGGAACTCATATATACGTGATATATTGCACAGAGATCAATTTCATTTCAACGCAATGTTACGCGCGCGCGCGCACACACTCGCGGTGTGTTTACAGAAAAGCCGTAATTTCCAATCTCATTGAATTGTAAATTGATACATGTATATATATAAAAATAGATTACAACGCGTGCGATACATATATACACGTCGTTTTCAATCTCATTATGCATATGGTCCGCGTATACACATTATTCTTGATGTTATTTTCGATCGACTTAAAGTTCAATTTTTTCGCTTTTTGCGTTCTTTTCCTCGTTTGCTACACTCGAGATTTTAAGAGGTGTTTTTCTTTTCCCGAAGTGTGGTGTTTTATACACTAACTACAAATTATGCAAAGCAAAAAAAAACCAAATGCGATCCCACATTTATCAGAGTATTAATATCAGGACTGAGAATGGTGTGAGGTATGTTTCAAAATTCAATCCATTGGCAAATCGTGTCGGGCTTAAAGGTGTCAAACGAACACGAACGAACAAAAAAAATGCTCAAAATGTTCGTTCGTTCGAA